TTTTTTAATTGTTGTCCAATCAGGTTGTGGAACCCTAGCATTTAATTAGCAAACGGATGATGTATTACTCAACCAATATTTTTATACTATATGTTTGATACCGTTACTTTTAAAGAATTTCCTATAAATTCATACGACCTCTGAAAAGTTTTCGTAAAGTACTATGAACTCGTAGTTGCTTGCACTTTCATCTCATACCATCAAATTCACTAAAATACTAAAGCAAAATATTTGATATTGTTGTATGTTATATGTTTAACAATAAACCTAATTAAAATAATAAACCACATAATTCTCAATACAAGTATATATATTTTTGTAAATATAAACAGGTACTTATTCATATGATATACAGTAAGTTTACTTAAATCTGCCTAATCCGCCTAAGTCTTTACCTAGACCCACTCTAGGCACGTAGGTGCCCCAGCCTACCTCCGAAATAGAGCCCAACCTTCCTTGACTAGGACCATCCGAGATTAAAATCCGGGATCTGCCATCGATTACATCCTCATATATATTTTGACATTGACAGAAAAAACATATATTTTGACACACACACACAGATATATATATATATATATAGAGAGAGAGAGAGAGAGAGAGAGAGAGAGAGAGAGAGAGATGTTAAATATCTTGGTGTATTTGTCTTTGTCATACATTATTGTTCACACCGCCCCACATTCTTCCCTTCCATTCTTCCCAAAAATTTAGTGAGTGCAAACATAGAAAATGGTCCAATGGCTATCCATGATTCTATGCCATGCTCACCAGAGGGGAGGTTGAACAAAAGAACAAAAGAAAAGCAAATTATTCATCCAAAGTCCAAACATACCCTTCCATTTGCTAGTTTGAACATTCTCACTTGGACTTTTCTTCTTTAGCAATGCAGATGCCTCTCTGTCTCTCCCTCCACATACACTAATTAAAATAAACCCGACACAAACAAACTCCCTTAGATTTGGTCACACAACCCTCTGCCGATTCTCATTTCTTTTCAAATCACTTGGAATTTCATCGAACGACTCGAGCCCGCTCATAACTTCACTTATTAAAGGATATACACTTGCAAGTATTATCCTTAATAAGAACTACTTATAACTGATGAAGCAGACATCTTATACGTACATATATATTGTCACTGTCCTATACATACACGAACACGAAGCCTCTTATAAATACTTTCTGACTGAAAATAATGGAGAGGGAAAGCCATGTGCCAAAGCCGCCATTCATTCCTCCCCCATTGCTGTATTGCAGGAAAGGTTTAGAGGGCTTCAGAGAGTGAAGGCAATGAGAGAGGAGCCAGAGAGATTGAGAATGCTAGCTGAACGAAAGCATAATAAGCAGTTGATGATGATCGATAGCGCTAGCAATCCTGCCACCATGCATTACGAGCCGGCAAGGGAAGGTTGTTCTTCCACCACCACCACCCTGATCATCATCATCTTGTCCTTCCTCATGATGATCATCGGTCATCATTAGCATTCTTGTGGCCATCACTGAAGAGCAAGCCTGACGAGCTAGGACTACTACATATATATCCAGGAGTATTAATTAATGAGACTCCGCTGTTGATCAACTTATGGCCCTCGGTCACAGCAGAAAACCCTAATTCATTAGACAGTACTGCGTAATAGTACGTAGTTCGAATCAATTCGAAGATTCCAATTGTGACTCTGCTGTCAGTGATTTGGATACTTCCCTTCATCTGTAGTAAACGAACTCATAATTGTTCTGATGTAATCATGCGTGTAGACGATTTGGATAAACAGAAATATTTATAATAATTATCTTGATGCCAAGTGTGTTAATAATGCATGCATGCATGCACCATAAATTTTGTTCAATTTCGGTGAAATATAATCCAAAATTAAACATCACTCATGGAAGTGAAGTCTGTCCATCCCTTATGAACAGGAGCAACGTGACTACATATATGAAGTTCGCATGCTTATAAATATCATATATACAGCACTTGGCAATGGACGGCATATGTGAACTCATTCCATCCAGCTATCAAAGCCTGTCATCAAGAAGAAATAGAGTAATGTTATTCATACCATGTTTTTATACCACATTTTTATACCACTTTAGGTGGCATCTAATTTGGATAGCTACATCATTTGAAAAATTTGCAAAACCCAAGGAAATGAAGGAGAAAGACTCCTCGTATACCACAATCATCATTTAATTAACTAGTTTTTCTTAATTATTAGTTTATTAAATAATGAACTAAATTTAAAAGGGAATTGTTATTGGCACTCCAAAAATCTCATTCTACACTCCAAACTTTCTATATTTGGAAAGAAAAATACATTTATGAGGAGTGTATAATTAGATTTTTGGGGTGCCAATAACACTTCCCATTTAAAAATATGATTAATTCAAATGATGTGGCTATTCATACCATATTTTTGTACCACTTTTCATACCACCTTAGGTGGCATTTGATGTGGACAGCCACATAATTTGAATTAATCATATTTTTAAATTTAGTTCATTATTTAATAAACTAATAATTAAGAAAAACTAGTTAATTAAATAATGATTGTAGTATACGAGGAGTCTTTCTCATTCATTTTCTTGGGTTTTGCAAATTTTTTAAATGATGTGACTGTCCACATCATATGCCACCTAAGGTGGTATAGAAATGTGGTATACAAATATGGTACGAATAGCATTACTCGTGGTTGTCCACATCAAATACCACCTAAGGTAGTATGAAAATATAGTATAAAAACATGATATAAATAATATTACTCGAAGAAATATGCTCTTTAAAAAAATTTCAACTTTTTGTTTCATTAATTTGCAATTGTCATTGTGAGATAACTAAAATGCCGAAGACCCAATACCGTGGGTAGTATAATTAGGAGTGAACCACATATGTTCACATCTTAGATTGTGGTACTTCTTTTATCTGGAACTTGTATCGAGTTAACTTTTACACCAGCAATTTACTTGGCCCTCTAAATTAACCAGAATCAAATCTACATGTTTAGTTATGATCCTTATATTGTTTTTTACCCAAAAAAAAAAGGGTTTTGCTCCTTATATTATCAACATTACAAATGTTGCACAACCTTCCCTTGGGTTGGTTCTTACCTAAAGTTTAATCCGAGTCACATATTTTGCTTGCAACACCTTCTTATTTGCATGCGCATTTACCCAAACACAATGTAATGGATAAGTATAGAGTATAGAAACTTTAGTTGCACGCCTTGTCTAGATAATTATTTAGTTTTCGTCATCTTAGCAATCTTTTGGAGACTTGGAGTTTGGAGCTTCGAAATTTGAAAATAAATAATAGAGGGTGTTATAGCTAGGGGACCTTTTGTGCTGCATAAAAGAAGCATCCAATCCATATCCAGTCCACCTCCTTGAGCAGCCGCAGCTTTCGTTTCTGCATGCCATTCCATTCCAAATACTCGAAGACAAAACATACATCGAGAGAAGAATGTTGGTCCGTTTGTCTTTGTCATATATTATTGTCCAAACCGCCCCCACATTCTTTTCCTTTCTTCTCTACACACAAATTATACGTGAAAAATATATATAAAAAGTGTGTGGTTCTTTACATGAATGTCTTTACTTACAAATTACAGTTTAACATAACATGACATAATCAATTAAAACCAACAAAATAAAAATTTATGTACACAATGTGATTTATGTACAAGAAAAAATGATCTTTAATTACCAAATAATATATATGAAAATGAACTGATAATATAAAGAAAGAACAAAGAGCCACCAAAAAATTAATAAAAAGCTCCATCGTCTTCAAAGCTAGAGTATCATCCCACCTATTATTCCTCCAAACACTCCCTTCCATGTGCTTGTTTCTAAGTTACATTCTCTTTGGAATTTTCTCCGAACCCTTTTCTCCTTTAGCAATGCCCTTGCCTCTTCCCCCACACTAGCTAAAGTAAACAAACAAACTCCCTTAGATTTGGCCACACAACCCTTTTCTTTTTGGACTTTGCTGCTTGGCTGCCGATTCTCATTCCCTACTGAAATTACTTTAAAAATACAGCAACTAAATCCACTTATTAGATTAATTAACTGGAGCACACAATCTTATAAAACATGCATGCATCATGCATGTCACTATCCCCAAAATCCTATATATACACACACATGAAAGCTTAGAGGCAACTTCCCACAGCCCTAATTTTGAAGCTAAGTGCATCTCTTTTCTGATCAAATGGATAGAGAAAACCACGAAACGACTGTCGTTCATTCCTCCATAGCTCTACTGCAGGAAAGGTTTAGAGAGCTGCAGAGAGTGAAGGCAATGAGAGAGGAGAGAGAGGAGAGAGAGATTTCTAGAATGCTAGCTCTATCCTCTGACTCCGAACCAAAGCAGTTCACGGTGATGAATAGAAATCCCGCCATGCATAACGAGCCGACAAGGGCAAGGTTGTTTTTCCACCTTGATCATCTTGTCCACGGTCATGGGACGTCGGCATCCGGAGCTTCTCTTTCCCTGTGGCCAACATTGCAGAGCAAGCATGAGGACTGTCCTCATGGGAAGACCGAGACATTGCTTTTGATCAACTTATGGCCAACTTTCAGAGACACCACCTCGTTAAAAACTTGTCCAAACAAATTTGAAGACTCGGATCCTTATTCTGACTCTGATGTAGATACTTCTCTTCATCTGTAAACCAACTTATACTTCTTCCAGTATTCCAGCATCAATGTAGTATTACTATTAGATAACTTGCTATATTATGAATACTACTAACTACGCTTCTACGATGCGTAGTGCGTATTCTTATTCATGCGTCGTATATCACATTATATAGTATGACGTATATCACACGCTCGTACATACAATTGATTACCTGATCTCAAAATGGCAGAAGAAACTCACGAAAGTGCTTTCCGTACACCCATTTTCTCTTTTGAACAAAACAACAACGAAAATAAACAGGGCGTACAAAAAGAGAGGTGTGTGTGCAAAAAGAAAAAAAATCATGCAGAAACTCTCCCAGTTGAGCACGATTGAAACAAAAATGGATACACGACAGAACGCAAGATTTGTGTACCAAAAACAATATACAATAGAAAGCAAGATCTATATGGTTTTTACAACCGCATGTAATTGATTCTTTTTCTATTAAGGTCATTTTACTATACAAATCAGTTTGGAAAAAACTGTGAACAAAATATTAGTTCTCTATATCAAAAATTTGACGACTCCCAGAAGATGACAAGCCTCGGTACTCAGATGGACCGTCACGGGATGTCCGCATGTTGTTGAGAAAACTGGAGTTTGGAAGGTGGCATTTACCAATTGTGCAACTGAGAAGTTAGGCTTTTCACGATAGGGTGGTACTCTGTGTGAAAGAGTCGCTTAGCTTTCTCTGAGCCAGGATGCTCAAGCCACTCATCGTATAAGTTTCGCACCAAAGGATTTCCAAAAGGATCAGCAACCAAGACCTGTACAAAATTAAAGGATTACCATTCAAAGCCAAAACAACATCACTATTCCCAGGCCAACGATAAATATAACTAACGATAAGTTCAGCACTTACATTTTCCATATAAGCTGCTTGTAATAACTGAATCAACTCCTTTGTGGATTGTCCGGGCTGTGGCTTAATCTGTCCTCCACCATTCAAGCAACCTGTTTAATTCAGGTTAGTATTACTTCCAAAATCCCAAATCCCCATAATGGATAATTCAACATGTTAAACCACATAATTATTTGAAGAATTAATGAGTAGAAAATTTTACAACCACCAAATAAATACCTGAAGGGCATGCCATGATCTCTAGAAAATGATAATCGCATTTTCCAATTTTGATTTTCCTGACAACATTTTGCAGGTTACGGAAGCCATAACAGAGTGCAAATTTCAACAGAGTCTTCCCGTCCACCTAAATGAGAGGGCATCAATACTCCAAATAAAAATGAACAGAAAATGCTAATACAAGCAATTAGCCCCTAGATTTTTCCAACTATATGCTCTACAAGTACTATAGCCTATAAGGATGCAATGTGACAAAGCTTGAGTTACAATTACAAAAAAGCTACATTACAATCCTTCAAAACTATAAGAAGAACTTGACTCACTTCCAAAGTCACTTCTTGGAAGTCTGAATTTTTAACTGTTTTGAAATCAATAGGGCCCTTGATTTCTCTTCCAAAGAGCACTTTAGCAGCATAACTGAATATTGTCTCCGCATAACCCCCTGAGCTTCCATGGACACCAAGAAGATGCCCTTCATTAAAATTTGTCAACCTAGCAGAACATGTTTGTTAGAATAATCAAAGCAGATGGAAGGAGCCTTATTGAAACTTTTACAGCTCTTACATGTTATCTAGTGGAGACTCTTCTAAGCCTTTGAAATCTACTCCCTTCAACTGCAATCACCAAAAGGAAGAAAGAAAACAAAGAGTGAATATAAGTCAGCACTATCTGGAAAGCTCAAAGTGGTAACCACTAAAGTGGAGATTGTAATAAGTATTTCTCACCTGTATGAGATCTAAAACTTCCCCAGATGTCAACACCGAATCTACCTCTGGAACCCTAAGACCTTCATTTTCATTATTTTCGGATTGATCGACTTCAAAAACGAAGTCATCACGTGAAGCCTCAAGCTTTTTATCATAACAAGGCATCACAGTTACATGGTAAACATCAGCTGGCCTGTCGAATAAAATCATTCAGGGACATGTAATACTTCAGTATAATCATTCAATTTCACCCATAGAAAATTATCTACTTCAAATTTTCGACACTAAATAAGCCAAAGGCAGCACAAAAATCAGACGAGGTGGACTGAACCTGTTAACAAGTCTGCCTATGATCCAAGAACATCTAGTTGTAATAAACATTTAATGGTGCTAATATATGCTCGGATCTTGTAGAAATTTCTCAATTTCAGTTGTACTAAATAAGCTTCTAAGTAAAAGAGGATTTACATCTTCCCGATTGATAGGCTATCAAATGATACAGAATAAACTTAGAAAGAAGAAAGAGGGAGGAACAAAAATATTTTGACATGAATAACAACAAATTACACACAAGAATTTCATCACTGATATAGAATAGTCCAACAAAGCAAGCTATGTCAAAGCCAAAACTTCTCATATTATACGTACATATTATCGAGCATCAATTATTACAAATGTTATGAATAGTTATCAGCCACAAGTGTACGGAAGTAATGATTCACATCACACTTATCGACCAAAAAAGGAAACAAAGGACAGAAAACATACCTAAGACCCATTTTTTGGCATACATGATTTTTAACAATAACTCCAATTGTTTGCTGGGGACTCTTCACCGATGAAATATAAGGCAGAACATAGGATCCAAGTTGTTTTTCGGCATAGCATATCCAACCTGCAATAACAGAGCTATTTTATAGTGCATCGTAGAAACAATTTGCCAAATTTCTATAACACTAAGGCCAAAATGTCAATGCGCTAGTCAACTATTATCTTTAACCAATTAAAAAGCCTGCTGCAAATTAGTTAAATTTATTGAGGGGGGGTTAGCAGAAAAGAGAATGATGCTAATACCGAAATATTATAGGCTAAGATATATATACCTGGGCATGCTGATGAAATCATAGGCAAGGAAGATTGATGCCTTTCATCATCAGATAACTGGCTTTGTTTGTACCTTGAGACGAACTCGTTACAAGATTCAACAAGAGTTAAATCCCTACTGGTACTTGTGTCAAATATAGCCTTTACACCCAAGGACTTAAAAAATGTTGTGAGTTTCCTAAAAACCTGCCAAAATTGAAATAAACTGCAGATGTTAAAATCCAATGCCAACAAGTGTGCTCGACTAACTTATTGCATATATTAATAATGAACAGTTACTGAGATTGTACAGAAAGTTGAACTGAAGTCAAACAATTAAAAGTAGGGTGAAACAAAACGAGTTCAAATACTACAGATAACCTGAAGCGGCGAAACTCCAAAATAAACGGCAAGTGAAGCTCTTGATTGGGGAGATAGGGAGACAATGACAGCTTTTCCTTTGTCAATATTGAGAAGAAACTCATCCAAACTTTGCTTCTCCAACATAACTGTCTCCGCTGAAGTTACGCAACCACTGCAAAGTCCATAAAACCATAGTTATGAAACCTTTTTGCACGGCAAAAGGAATTCTAACTCGATTGATCTAGCTGGAAGTTGGGAAAGTTTAAGCCGGCTATTCTATCTTCACAGTACCTAGCCTTGCACAATATAGCAATATACAGATTCTACGCACCCTGACAATTTTCGACTGGAAATTTTGAAAAGGTAAATATCATTACACCCATATATTGATATTAAAAAGTCGACACACCAATTTGAAATAACAACAATAAGTAACATGGCAATTAAGCTATGCAAAACAATAAGTGAAGTTTAAATAAAAGATTAAAACTTAAACTTGATAGCATCACCAACAAATAAACCCAATAAGCATATGTATGAATTACCTGCATGCTAAGCAATCTTTGAGTGAAATTTTAACCGGTTCCGTTTTCACTTGCTTGCCAGAAGTTGAAACCTTTGCCAAGAGAAATTTACCAACAAGCTTAAACATTACTAATTCAGCTCCAATTAGGCAATCAGATAAAACAATCAGTAAAAGGAGCAATTTTTACTTCTTTATTTACCGGAAAAGTAAAAAAGAAGAGAAATTTACCTCAGGCTTAGCAGAGGGCTTGGTCGAGGAGGCTTTGAGGCCTGAGACTATGCAGCCCTGGGACGGTGCAATGAAATCGTTGAGATCTCCGATTCGAAGCGTCGCCGAGAACTTCTCTGACATCGCTTCGAAGCCGAAAATTGAGACCGCGGCCTTATTCGGTGAGCCAAGAATTTAATCAGGTTCTGAAAGTTGGGGTTTTTTCGGAGGTTTGGAAATGGCAGAGAACAAGAAGAAGGAAGTGGGTCGAAAGCTCAGAGGCGGTGATTTGCTTGGTCGGTCATGAGCTTGGAAACTTGTAAAATTGATGTGAAAAACGTAAAGTTTTTTTTTATTAAAAAAATAATAAAAAAATAAAAAATAAAAAAAGGAAAAACCCAGTGGGCTGAGGATAATCCACGGCTGCTCATTCGAGAAGGGTTGGGATCATCTCCGGATCCCTTTCCTGGGATCCTCTAATCCTGAGCGTTCAACAAATAATGAACGATCAAGATTCAAGTACAAACAAATACGCTTTCATCTTGCGGGCAGCCCGTCGAATCCCACCACCGTAACTGCCATCATGCTTGAACCTCGACTCCACAGTCGACTTCTCGGATTTGAACTAGATACGACAGAAACCCACGTCGTCGGAGCACCAGAATTGCCTGCATCCACCTGTTGCCCAACATCGCTGTAGCATTTACCTGCTGCCTCACATTGCCGCAGCACCGTCCGACGATATCGGCAATCCAATGCAACCACTCGATAAATTGAAAATAAAATTGTGGATTAAATTTGGGAAATCAGGTATTATAGAGCCACTGGGAATTTCCAGTTCATATCATCAACTCCGGAGAGAGCTCTCACGTTCTGTAAGCCTCTGCCTCCATATCTTTTCTTCTGTAAGCCTAACAAATCCGTCCATACCAGCACCGACAATCCGCTTCTGCTGTCACCACAACCCAGACTTGAATCTGGACCGTTAATTGTTTGTTGAACGCTCAGGATTAGAGAATCCCGAGGATTTCCAGGGATCCGGAGATGATCCCAGTCAGTTAAATGAGAATACTTTATATATTATTTTTTATTTGACCTAACTAAAGAATATCAAACGTTTCTTATTTTTTTAAACGGTAATTTCAGTTTAAACTCTCAAGTTTCGGTACAATTGCAATCTCATACTACATTTTTAAAATATTTTATTTTATACATTTTTTATCCTTTCATTTCAATATCATTCATTAATTTCAGTTTAAATTGACTGTTAAGTGATGAGTGATAAATATTGTGCAAAAGAAAATTATTTATCAAAAAATGGGCCAACCCTTTCTTCGCTTTCTTCGACAAACAAAGCAAGACGCTCCACAACGCCATTATTTTCACAAATTAAACTCGGATTTCCATCTTAAATTTTCTAAATGATTTTCATAATCTCATTTTTTTTTCCGCCTTATTCATACACACGGATTTATATTTCAAACATTCACAAGTTTTACAAAACAAGTCTTACAATTATGCCTAACTTATAATGTAAAATCACTTTTGTTATTAACAACCTATCAAGTGTAAAATATTGACTATCATCATTTTCTTTTCGTGGAAGTGTCGCAAAATGTTACACAATTTAAATTTGGGCTTTCAAAAAAGCCCATTTTGAATAAAAGTACTTTTGATGGCCCAAAAGGCAATGAAGAAGAATACCAAAATGGAGTCGTCATCTGCGTGACTGCGTCCAGCGGGCGAGAAGAGAAAGCTTAACTGCTGAGCTCAACAAAACCAGAGCCTGAAGGGTGTCACGGCGTCGTTTTCGAAGTAGAAGTGGAAGGAGAACAAAGATGAACACAGACATCACAGCGTCGACGAAGCCCGAGTACCCGGTCATAGATCGGAACCCTCCATTCACCACCGTCGTCGGCAACTTCAGCACCCTCGATTACTTCCGCTTCGCCACCATCACTGGCGTATCCGTCACCGTCGGCTACCTCTCCGGTATCCGCATCCCCTCCGATTTTCACGTTGTCTTCAGTTAAAGCAGTAATCTTGATTGATGAATTCTAATTTGTGTGAATTTGACAGGGATTAAGCCGGGAATTAGAGGGCCGTCAATGGTGACCGGAGGTCTGATTGGGGTAATGGGCGGATTCATGTACGCTTATCAGAACTCGGCGGGACGCCTCATGGGCTTTTTCCCCAACGACGATGAGGTAGCTCGTTACAAGAAATGAAAATGCAAATTCAGTGTCCACATTTCTAGGGTTTCTCTGTAATAATCAGATTGTCCTTTTTGTGCTGAATTCATTCATGTGATACTTGATCTGAAATCTAAGTTGTAGTTTTTGGATTCGATGTCAATGATGTCGTTTAAGTGTGTTTTGAAATGTCATACAACTGAATAAAATGCTGCTTTTGCTGATCTGATGCTACACAAAGTAGTCGATTACGTTGCAGTTTTAGCTCTGAACAAGTTGATTTTATTTGTGATTCGTTCCAATTAACAAGATGTTAGCTCTATGATTTAGAAGCATGGGAATTTATACTGTATTGGGTGAAGCTTAACATGTTGCTTCCAGAACTGTCTTACTTTTATTTGATTCTTGATTAGAGATTCTCGGTTTGCTCTTCTTGTGAACCATTGTATGCACTGATGATCTTTTAGGGGTTTGAACTCTAAACCCCAGCATCCCTTTCCCTTCCCTTCACTCCATATTTAGTCAGCAATGTAGTATACAAGTTCGGGAGCATGATCATTTATGTCTTTTGCTCTTTCATGATAGCCTTGAATTGGTGATGGTTGTCAAACTAGAATTGAACATTTATATGTTAGCGGTCGTATAGTAAGAAAGTATGTCTCTTGATATGCTTTTGTGATTGGCATATGAGAAGCATATAAATTCCAATAATGAAAACATCATATTCATTGGAGATCAGTCAAACTCTGACAGTGCTAGTTATGTGATTTTGCTTATGGATATAGATTTTAGTTTATGAAACTTGTGAACCTATGTCTAGTCTTCGAGAGGAGACCGAAAACAGGGTGAGGATGGTTTTGCGAAACTGCTAAGGGTTATAGAGTAAAGTTAGGACTCCACAAGATTGCTGCCTGATTTTCTGAGTTGGATAGATAATGAGCTGTGTCATAACATATGCAGTGAGCTTTTATGGGGGGAAGAGGGGAGTGGAAAATGACCAGCTCATTTGGGGTGGTTTTATGCAATAATATTTGCTATTTTACCCCTTCTTGAAAAATCTACTCTTTGGAGCTTGTGGATTATTCTATATATTCATGTAAAGTTCATTTCGGGATATCTTTTAGTTTGAGAGGCTGATGTTTGGTTAACACACTGTCATGTGAAGTGTTGAAGATTAATGATAACAAGTTAGGCCGTCGTTTCTAATGCAGATACTGCTGTTCGATTGTTAACTTGTAGCGCACATTATGTCTTCTTTCTTTGATTTGTCACTTGTAATTATTTGTGTTGATAAAATGTGTACAAAATAAGTGTGTTTAGCGGATTTTGTACAAGTTTAATATCAATGGTGGAGATTAGGCTTTGTAAAGTTAAAAATGCAAACACTTTTACGCACCATTGACTTTATGCAAAACGAAAGAAAAATAGAGATTAGGCTTTGCAAGTTTAAGTACAATTATAGGTAGGTTTTAAGGCACCTTTGTTGCATTCAGTTGGGTATGTAGCAGCTCCTTGGGGTTCAGATTCATCAAGTTGGTCACCTGAAGAAGCAGTGATTTTGGGTTTTCTGGCAACCTTGAGTTCAAACCTCAAAGAATTAACGTTTTCGAGTGTAACAGCCGAAATTTTCAGTAGGGACACGAGTGGCAGTGTGGTGAACAGAGCTCTCACCCGCCGTCCCACCACCTATGGGTAACCCTAGGGCTCCGCCGCCTCCTCCTCCTCCTCCATCATCATTTAACAAATCATTATCATCACCCGCAAAGTAAGGTCAGTAACGCGATGCCGCTCCGCCCCCATATCCAGTTTTTATTTTCCTTTTTCCGCCATTCTCACCACCACCGGGAGGAGTCAAGTAGAGAGTCCTTTCCTCTGTTGATTAGAATTAAGAATTATTTGCGCAATCCCCCAACCGAAAAATTAGCAATTTGATTTATTTTGATGTGTTGAGACTTCCCCAAGAAAATTTGACATCTCAAATCTCGATTCAATTGTGTTTTGAAACGCTGCTGGAGTCTGGACCCACCTCGGATCCGGTGGGCGGCACTTATCCATCCATCCATCCAATCCAACCTCGAAGGATTCAACCTTCAACTTCAAGGCATCAAATTCAAAGCATATGGCTGCATGCCGAATTGAATAATGATGTAAATTAAGAGTTTATAAGTGCCACTTAATTAATTTGATCGATCATTATTATATTTGATATGTCCCTGTCTTATTTTCTTAATTGGTATTATAAATTGTGATTAAAGATAATGCTGATCTCATCCCACTTCCCAGCAGCACCCGCACCAGGCAAGGCAGGCTTTTGGCCTCGCTTTGCTTAATTCCTGTATCCTCCCTTTGCGCAAAGTAAAGATATGCTCCACCGACTAACGCACAAGATTGCAAATTACAAAAGGGTAATCTCCTGCTTTTAAATTAAGATGACATATTTGCATTTTGCGTCAGACGGGGACCCAATTCCCTTTTCCGAATGTTACTATAGTGCGTCACATAATTATTATATATAGATATTTATTATTTTATATAATTTTATATTAATTTTATATTAATTTATATATATATATATTATATTTATTTATATATGAGTCACGACCACTTTGAGATTGGACAAATTCTTAATTTACTAGACATAATTGCTCCCTGTTGAATGTTAATCGTGATGTGCACACTTTTTTATTCTTCTCGACTTTATTTTTTTTGTTTTTATTATGCTTGTATTTTGATTCTCATTTGATTTATACGTTCATTATAATTTTAGGATTTTGATTCACTCTAAATTTCGATGTCTAAAATTCGTAGACCGAGAGATTTGAACAGTTCTAGAGAAAGAGTACGGGCCTTTCAAATTTTTGAATTTGTATAAGGCGCACTGTTAACACAAAAATTCGGAAGGATCTCAATCCATGACTTTGACATACCTTTTTTTCTTCTCCTCCCAATAAGCCAATGCCAACGAGTTTTTTTCATTTTCTTTCTTAATCATAATAAATATTAATCTATCAAATAATTAATCTCTCAAGCATGCATACAATTAAGAGCAGCTCCAGTGTAGGAAAGGCCCCTCAGGATAACTGCCTATTGAATCCCTCCAGTGAATAATAACTGCCTTTAATGAACAGTAATTATCTTTTGCATCTCCACTTCTAAACTGAATAGTCATGGCAATATGCAATAAAATATTAGTAATTTTTTATTTTATAAAATAATAATAAATAATTTTATTTCAAATCTCGGATATGATTTTTAATCAGTTTCGTTGTACCACGTTTCATTAAATAAGAAATTACAACTCAAAGTATTCGAGAAAATATAAAATTGTGGTGTAAGGTGGAAGATAATGATAAGATATTTATAAAAAAAAAAAAAAAAATTAAATCTTTTTTTTTATTTTTAAAATTTTTCCATTTTTTATTAATTTTATAATGTAGCTGACATCATCTTGACGTCAGGCTTGCATTAGCTTGCCCTAAGGCACTCGAGCCTACTATTCAAGCTTGCCCTCTCACTTGGGGCCCCCTCCCCCTCAACCCAATCGTCCGCATGAACTGGAGCAAGGAGGGAAGGTAATTGGATTGAAAACCTCCCAATCCATCGGGCTATCCACAACAGTGGAGCTGCACTAAGTTGAACTGGTCGTCACTAGGGCAATTACCTGACGTCGATGATGACATGTGTAGGCCCCATTCATGTGACGTTGTTTATTAGAAATTTAATATATATATATATATATTATTGTTGGCGGTGGGTGGAAACGTGTAAGTATATGGCAAAATATACGTAACAATGACACACAACAGCAATATCGGAAATTTAATTCGCATATATTATACAGCTACAGCATATATAGAGAAATACTGAAATAGAATAGAGAACACATCAACCTTATTAATTTCATCTCGTCGTCTCATGCGTTTACTTTCGATTTTATTTTTGGTCGTCTCTGAGTTGTATTGTACGGTCACTTGTGTTAATGGTAGGATCCTCAATTTTAGGTGCGAGTGTCCTTCAACACATGGAAGGTTCGTCCAACCATGCAACACGGGAGAAGATAAACATTGTGCACCATAATATATATTTGTATACTCTAAGAATATGTGTATTTAACAAAAATTGGAGAAGAAATGATTCGGAGAACTTAGAAATATGAGAAGTAATATAAAGAAGCTAGTTTAGTGAATCAACTACGGATCAATTAGCTCCTAGTTGATATATGATCTTTAAGTATTTGATTATGAATTTTAAGGAGAAATTTATACTTTTCTAATTTCATGTGTGTTAGTAAACACATTAAAAAGGTAAGAAGTGAAATTATTTGTGTACGCATATTTTAGCAATGTAAAAAACTTAAGAATTAAAATGATTTCAATTCATATTTCTTGTTGTAAGTTAACATGTCGTAACAAGAAAAATTAGAATTAATTTTTTATTGTAAGTCTAGTTTTAGTGATTGTGATATGGTAAAGCAAGTTAAAGAATTTATGTCACTATAAGAGCTGTTAATGACTGAAATTTCTCAGCAACAACAATCAACATTATATATATATATATATATATATATATATATATAAAGGAGAGAAATTTTAAGAGGCTCTTTCAAAATTAGAACTTAATATTTTTTATTCAATATTTAATAATATTGACATGAAAATAAACGTTAAACTAAAAAGGGTAAGAGTCTATAAAAAAATTTCATTACAATTTCCTTAGTATTTATGTATATGAAGATTAGAATGAGATATATATACACTGACTGTATCGGGTATAAGCTATTAAAGTTGTTCATGTCCGTCCGATTCTCCAAGTTACTTTCATGGTGAAGTGGTGGAGATAATCACGTGGGATGATATTGATAGCATCATATCATTGATGAAATTTAACTTTGACCGGCACTTACTTTCATGTAATGTAATGTCAGATGTAATAAGATAAAAAGTGGGTGCAATGTAAGCCATATATGCCACATAATAATTATAAAAACAGATCTATCTTTTTCTGTGGAAGGAAAGGAAAGCAAACCAAACCAAACTCCAAGATTCTCCTTTAAGATTTTATGATCAACATCGATCGATCTTTATCATCATCATTTAGCACATCTCACTTCCCCCACAAATTAGCACCACCTATGATATGACCTAGCTATCAGATCAATTACGTGGGATGGGGTGGGGTGGGGGTAAAATTCGAAATTGGATCCTCTCCGAGGCAAAGCCTCGGGATCTTTCTGACCCAATAACAAGAACCGTTGGATTTTAATTAAACGGCTACAAACATGAGGACCCCTCTAAAAGTTATAATAATTTTAGCCGATTGATCAAAATTCAACGGTCCCGTATTAATAGGTCAAAAGAATCCAAAGACTTTGCCTCAGAGAGGATCCAATTCCGTAAAATTCCCCTTTAAAACATGTAAACAACATTAAAGCGCTAATTAGCTTCGACGATCCTTGGTGCCTTTTATGTCATCTTATATATCTGCAACATCAGCCATATTATTAGAATATCAAAGTGCTAAGGAGATTTTTTTTTTTTTTTTTTTTTTTAAGTGAGACTTTCCATAAACATCTCATAATTTTGGCACGAAAATAGATGCTAAACTCTGGGATGGCAAAAAGTTCATGAAGAATTCTATTTTAAGATAATCTTCTTAGCATTTATCATATTAATTAATATTATCAGTTGCGTGGGTCTTAGTTATTATATAAGGAGAAAATCTTGTGTGTATTCCGACGTTCATATAAAGCACTAGATATAAGGGGCGAGGGAGGAAGTCTTGTGTGTTCCGACTTCCGACGTTCATATAAAGCACTAATATTAGGGGCGGGACTGTATGAGTGTTGAGTGACCAAAACAAGTTAGAGTTTGGGTGCCTTTTTCGTGGATTGAACAATTATGTGTTGTATTTAAGAATTTCTCCCGGAGAGTTATGCAACTAATGGTAACACAATTCTTATATTATTAGTGAAGGCAAGAGTTAGCTAGCTGAGTGAGATTATCTTAAATGGCACATTAATTCTATTATGTTAACCCTTGCATATGATTTCTATCAGCTAAAATGAATCTTGTCAACTATGTTATCTTCGTATGTAACTTACACATCGTTGTTTATTTTTTAATCTTAAATTAAGTTTAAATAAACCAAAAAATAATAATAATGAACAGATATAAACAGTAGCTTGCAAAACGAGGAAAGAATATATGCCGATATTTTTCTGTATGGCTACTACTAGTACTGTCAATGACCATGAACATTTTGGACAAACAGAATAGTTTTTTTTTTTTTTTTTTTTTTTTAATTTAAAAAAAATTTATATTAAAAAAAAAAAGTTATGTCAATTGTCTTAGAGCGCGTTACACGTAGGTACGTACGCATGCATATCATCACCACAATCACATGGTAGGGTAAAGAAGGCCATGGTCATTGGCACATCCTTATCTTACGACTCAAAATCCAAATTTAGAATCTTAACGTGATGTAATGATTGGTCCCCCCGATTACAATCATTTACACGAATGGAGTAAAACTGTCAATTCTGCAATATGATATTTGAAGGGATAATGTTAAGGAGATCAAAAAATTTAAATTAAATTTGTAAATCAAATAATGTAATTGTTGATGATTGAATCATTACTTAAACGTTGATTCATGTGTTTATTTTCTATTGTGGACATATCATTTAGTTTACAAATTTGATTTAAATTTTTGATCTGTCTAGCATTATTTTATTTGAAGTGCCATAAAAATTTATCTAAAATTTCATTAGAGTATATGATGTTCATTACCATTCGAATTATGTACTAGTTTGGAAAAGTTATCGAAGCACATGTTATTATTTATATAGAACAATATTCCTCCGCCATGGAAGGACCTTTGCACTACCCATTCACTGAGTCACTGGCCACGACTCGCGCCACCTTCCTCTCCTTGTTGCCATGGTTGCGTTTCCAAAAAGAGGGTAGATTGAGGAAGGGGTCGACGGAAGAGAGAGACAGGAGAAAGAGACGTGGATGTTATCAACGGATACTTTGTAATTAATTAGATATGAATGGTCCGATTCAAGGTTTGAGAAGAACTCCAATGAAGGACGTTTGGCCGGTGGGAGTGGACGGTGGTGCAAGTGGTTGATGGAGGAGAGAAGAAGACATTTGATTAGAGAGTTAAATGATGGATAAATGTCGTTAATTAATTATCTAGTTAGGCCACGTAGAACAATCAATATACTGGGTTTTGAACGTTCAGGACCCACGTATTATCCTATTATATATGAGGATATAATAGAATTATATTCTATAAAAATATTAAGTGTGATAACATAAGTGGATTTGTGGCACTGACGTATTTTAATTTAGCATTCACATATTCTCACATAAGGGTAGTTGATTAAGCTGAAATGATTATTCATTGAGAAGTTTGAAAAGTTTATGTAAAGACGACATTTACATAGGGATATATATGTTACTGAGAATTTACAAAAAAAATTAGTGTGCATTCCAAACTTTAAATAATTAAAAATAAAAATGCGCTTAAGAGCCATGCATAATGGATTTTTTTAACTACCAATACCATGTAGCTGTATATATATATATTCTCATATTATTTCATGAAGAATACAAGTTGTGTATATTTTTATGCAACTCCCATAATTAGGTAGTCTTATATAGATATTCCTAATCATATAGGTTTCATCAACTGGGTTCGATAAAAAGCATTATCTTGACGACTATACTTGCTTTTGTTTTTTCGTAATTAGTTTGATTTAATCACTTAAATTTTGTTTGCTGCTGCATATGTCTCAGCCCTGTCTAGGGTTATTTTTGTGTTCCAAATTAATTAAATTTGAATTATTTATATATACAAGAGTCAAGACTTGCAAGCGTTAAGAAAATCCAAGCCTAATTGTGTATTTAATTTGTTTTTCTTGAAAAATTATAATTAGGGTTTTGGAGGCTTCATGTTTAGCACCAGATCTTGTGTTCCTTGGAGCGAAGAAGACGCTGATTTCCACGTCATCGCATATTTTAATAATTTCTAAATTTGGGGGGAAGCTCCAAGAACGTGAGGCGTGGCCGCGTGGCAGCCTCCAGGCCCTGCTTAAAAGAAGGCCCTTCTCCGCCCACTATATTACGAGAATACCATTTTACACTTTGTCCCCAGGTTCCCGAGTGCAAAAATTTTCCAATCCGTACCAAGCGAATCAACTGGAAACGCGCATCGTTTGTGACATTTTGTCTCAATTTACTCTGAACGGCGAAACGACTGACCGTTTGCAGTCGAGAGTGAGTGATAAGTAGCTCGGCAACTGAAGAGTAATATTAATTATTACGTAGACTAAATTTATAAACTAAATAACGTGTCATCAATAGAAAATAAATATGTTAATAAATACCAAATAATAATTTAATCATCAACGATCAAATCATTTGATTTTTTATTTACGTGGTAATTGTTTTTTTTTTTTTTATCAAATAAAGAATTTTGTTAGATTAGCCACTAACATGGTAAATTGGTAATTGTAAGTCTATCTTTACTAAACTGTGTTATTTTCCAACTATATATATATATATATATGTTATTTTAATTAAGCTTAGCCTGCACAAACCTCTTACACACATAAACAAATATTAGACAGATATCGGACTCAAATAGCCTGTATATTATTTCTTTGAATAACAGAGTAAAGCCCACTTGTCTCAATTAATATTAGAGGAAAGAACCGAGTAGTGACCCTATATATGAGAGGGTCAAACACTTAAGCTGGTTGAATTTTGATTTAACCGAAGCTTGACTACAACAAACTATTACTTAATTAAACTTTGGTTATATGTATGTTTTTAGTTTGCCAAACAGTCAATAACTAAATTTATTCATTTCATGTTACGAAGAATTTACCTGTTTAAAATTCTAATGTAGACTATGCTCTGGTACATGGTAGAAAAATTCAAAGCACCCTCTCTCGTCTTCCTTCAACTTTCATGATGGACTAAAACCCTTGCTAATTATCTTTCTTGTTTCATATTAATTTACATTTATATTTTTGACATATATTGTTGAAACCAAGTTATGTCTTTAAGATGTTTAATTTCCAATTGTTGATATAGTTGATTCATACTTAACAACAAGACCAAACGAAGGAGACCAAATTATATAGGATCATTTCCCTAAGATTATTTTTAAGATGGTTAAACCGCTTGTTTGATCAATGATTTAAGTTTATGAAATGAAGAAAGAATATGATGGGATTAGAGTAATCCAGGATCATAATAATTGACCTGTGAATATATGAATTGATGAAGCGCGTATGCATGGATTATATATATATATATATATACATGGTGACCAAAGAAGAAGAACAAGAACGCATTGAATAAAGGGAGTTTTAATGAAAAGTCTGCAGTACTGTTTATTTTAACGAAAAATCACATTTTTACACTAAAAAATCAAATCTGTCACTATTCACTTTACCTTTTTTTTTGACCTTATCATTAAACCTCAAAATTTTCAAATCATTTCTATTAGTTTCTTTTAAATAAAGAAAGAAGAACGCTTTGACTCTCAACGAAAAGTGAAGTACAGTCAGTAGTCATGAATGCTGATCACACGTCGTGACGTCGTTCATTGGAATAAGGTTAATTTCGTCATTTCGGACCACAACTCTTTGCGTGTCTACAGTCCTCCAAAATTTGAATACAAAGGGGGCGACATTGTAATTCTCTGTAACGGCGGTGGCATTTTCTCAGGTACAACTATAAAAACCTACTAAGTCGCAACACATAGTTCTAGACATGACAGAAGGATTACTCTCTGGCTTCTGGCTTCGGGCTCCTGACTCCTGACTCCTGAAGAAGAGGGAATCTGAAAGTTAAGGTTTTACCAACCCACCAATCCCAGCTGACCTGAGCTCGCTAATTCAGCCGACTTGTCTTCTATGTGATTAAGGTAAGCTTTCGTTAATTTCGATTAGTATTTTGTTTTTAATCCTGGGTTCGGATTAAGAAGGTTTGTTGTGACTTGGGGTGTTTGTTGTTTTGAGCATTTTAAAGTAAAGATTTAACCTTGTTTTTTTGGATGATTTCATGAACTGGGAACATGAGTTTCTGTTGGATTTTTTTGAAGGTGGATTGTTTTCACTGACTCGAATTCTAATTTGGCGTCTGCATATGGGAATTAATATTTTTTGCCATGTTTTTATCGCTATTGTATATCTGAATTGTTTTACGTTCAATAATTTGTGAAATTATGTTGTTTTAATGCCATTTTTTTGTTGATCTGAGACCAATTTATTTGAAGAAATCATACAATTCCGGAATTTAGATGTTAAAGTACTTTTTCTTTTTGCGGTAATTAATTAGTTACTTTTATTAGAATTCATAAGAAAAGATGGAGGGGTGGAATTAAATAATAATTAGACAGAAAAACGCGTATCAACATTCGTGTGCTTAAAAAATTACACGTTTTGCTGTTATTGTCTGGGGATGTTGGAGGAGAAATTAGTAGGTAATTAAAGTAGTGGGGACTGTGCTGGTTAGGTTTCACCTGCTGAGTGCTTTTTCTTCTTTGGGTAGATAAAATATATAGAATCCCAAGTTATCTATGGCGGAGTTACGTGTTTGGTAGGTGAGTTTTCAGGTTCTGACTTTCCGAGTTTCTAAATAGAGGGGCGAATTTTATTGTTTTAGTGGTTTGAAGGATCATATTTTGCTTGTAGCGTATTCAATTTTGTTGTTGTGAGGTTCTGATTGGTGATCAATCTCGCTTCTTGTGACCTTAATCTTTCATCTAAGATTAAAAATTTCTTGTGATCTTCTGATGTAAAGGTCGCTTTTATTGGTTGTTTGGTTAACATAAACTTGTTTCCTATGTGCAGATTTGGTGGTTCTCTTGTGATTTTTCTTCCACAGTTGAAGCAGTTTGTCACTTTTATTGAGATTCAGTTTAAGATCTAATTGACGGGCGATCGAGTAAAGTTTTAGGAACATATATTAGGTGAGAATCCTTCTCTGGATTGGTTCAACATTTCATTTCTTTATATGAAAGCATCTCAGCAGCACCGAGGTGTGGCGTTGTATCATCAGCCTGTGCAGCAGATTGATCGCTGTGGTTTCCAAATTTTGGAAAAAAGCATGTATCCGGATACTGGTAGCCCAGGAAACAATCTTTCCTTTCAAAACTACAAGGATGACAAGGAGCAGTTCTTTACCCTGGATTCATCTCCAGCCACTGCCTTTCTAACCTGCGATTCCCCATCTGCTATTAGTGGCTTGTCTAACAGGAGTCCATTTTCTCCGCAAGGTTCTCACTCGTGCTTTTCTGATCAGCACCATTCCTCTGGCAACAACTATGGATCACCAATAAGTGGGTGCTCCATAATTGTGGATGATGACTTCAAGTCCAAGCTCAGGGAAATGGAAGTTTCATTGCTAGGACCTGATTCGGATATTGTTGACAGCCACTTTTGTTCTCACAGGAGTGGTATGGCAAGGTGGAGCCATAGTCAAATAGCCGAAACGATACCTAAGTTAAACCTAAAAAATGTTCTCATTGACTGTGCACGTGCGATATCCGAAAACGAATTTGACAATGCAATAAGCTTGATGGAAGTTTTGGGGCAAATGGTGTCAGTCTCTGGGGAGCCAATGCAGAGATTGGGGGCTTACATGTTGGAAGGTCTCAGAGCAAGGTTGGAAGGATCAGGGAGTTCAATCTACAAAACCCTAAAATGTGAAGTTCCAACGAGCTCGGAACTTATGTCATACATGTCTGTCCTCTATCGGATCTGCCCATATTGGAGGTTTGCTTACCTGTCTGCAAACGTTGTCATTCGGGAAGCGTTGGAGAATGAGCCAAGAATCCACATAATTGATTTTCAGATTGCACAGGGCAGCCAGTGGATTCCCCTCATCCAAGATCTAGCTTGTCAGCCAGGTGGCCCCCCACGTATCCGAATCACAGGCGTTGATGATACCCAATCAGAGCATGCTCGTGGTGGGGGACTTCATATCGTGAGTAAGAGGCTTTCAGAGCTTGCTGCATCATGCAATGTGCCATTTGAGTTTAATGCTGCTGCAATGTGTGGTTCTGAGGTTGAACTTCATAATCTCAGGATTCAACCTGGTGAAGCCATAGCCGTTAATTTTCCATACGTGTTGCACCACATGCCAGATGAGAGTGTGAGCACTGAAAATCACAGAGATCGTTTGTTAAGGCTGGTTAAGAGTTTATCGCCCAAAGTTGTGACACTTGTGGAACAAGAATCCAACACCAACACTTCCCCATTCTACTCAAGGTTTGTTGAAATGGTAGATTATTATACAGCAATGTTTGAATCAATTGATGTGGCTCGCCCAAGAGATGACAAAGAGCGGATCAGCGCAGAGATGCACTGTGTGGCTAGAGACATCGTGAACATGGTTGCTTGTGAAGGAGCCGAGAGGGTGGAACGCCATGAACTTTTCGGGAAGTGGAGGTCAAGGCTAATGATGGATGGATTTACTCCATACCCGCTGAGTCCTAAAGTGACGGAGGCTATCAGGGTTCTGTTGAAGGAATATCACGGGAATTTTAGAATTCAAGAGGCAAATGGGGCTCTCTACCTTACTTGGATGCAAAGAGCTATGGCAACGTCTTCTGCATGGAGGTGAACCAGAGGGTGACTGCAAAACCTGTAAAATTTCTAATTTCGTGTTGTTTTATGACGCTTAGAGCCAGTGGCGGATCCAGGATTTTAAACTCGGGGGGTCCCAATAATAAAGGTTAAAAAATTTATAGACAAAAATAACATTGAAAAGTTAAATATAATACATTTTATTCAAAAATCATTTGCATAACAATATTACAAGCTATAAAATCCTAATTCAAGCGTCCACGACGAGGTTTCATGGTCTGAAAATGTTTCATGATAGCTTCATTACCAATACATGAAAAAACATCTTTCTCAATGTAAACAACTAAGCTGTCACTCAACCATTGATCTCCCATTTTGTTGCGAAGTGGACCCTTAATGATATTCATAGCGGAAAATGCCCTCTCCACTGAAGCAGTTACAACCGGTAAAACCAAAGCCAACTGAACAAGCAAATATACATATGCAAATGTTCGATGCAACCCTTTCTCCACCATTTTCTTAGCAAGCTCATTAATTCCCCGCAATTGAGAAAAATCATTATCAGAACGCACAAAATGAATGTAAATATCAAGTTGATCTTGAAGTGCCGATCTATCTCGATCCGTGAAATCTTTAGGATACATATGAGCAAGGCGAACAAGCTTCTCTTTATCAAAAGCTACAAATGAATCATTCGGACTCAAGCATGCCAAGCAAATAAGCAATTCGGTATTACCTTCAGCGAAGCGATCATCTAATTCTGTAAGTTGGAAATCAATGACCTCGAAAAAGAGCTCCACTTTGTAATGATGATGATTGGTCTTTCTTGGAGCCTTACGCAATGACTTCCCTTGAATGACATATAAATCATCCATATTAGGCACCTCAATTTCATGTTCAACACAAAAAGATGATACTTTATCAACCAAAAGATCAAAATTTTCATCATTCCTCATGCAACGTAGTTGTTCTTTACATGTCTTGACTAAAGCCATTGCATTCACAATCTCTTGATCTTTTTTTTGCAATGCTTGTGACAAATCGTTTGTAACTCCTAATATGGATTTCATCAAAAAGAGGAGGAACACAAACTCAAAAGATTGTAAATCTTTTAATAACCTTTTTGCTTCACCAACACTATCATTGTAGCAATCTTCAACAATCATGTCAAGCACATCCACCACAGATGAGAACATTGTAATCAAACTAATCAAAGCACCATAATGTGAATTCCACTGTGTATCCCCAGCACGTTTGAGACTAGTTTCTTGATTTAACCCTTGCCCCGTTTCAAGACAATCATTTTCAATAGCTTTCAAGAGATTTTCTTTTTGTTTCTCTCTAAGTGCATCACGACGCTTACATGAGCATCCAACAACATTTACCAAACTATTAGTCAATGTGAAAAAAGCGGCAACATTGGAGTTTTTCTTTGCTACGGCAACAAGAGCTAATTGTAGTTGATGAGCAAAACAATTAACATAAAATGCACAACTTTCTTCATCCAAAATTTTTTTTTTAAGGCCATTGAACTCACCTCTCATATTACTCGCACCGTCATAACCTTGACCTCGTAGGTTGGAGTAGCTCAAGTCGTGTAGTTTCAAGAACTCATCAATGGACTCCTTTAGTTTACTTGAAGTTGTTTCGGTAACATGTTGGACTCCCACGAACCTTTCAATTACTTGACCTTTGTTGTCCACATAACGCAAAATCACCGCCATTTGCTCCTTTGTTGAAATATCACGTGATTCATCTACCATTATAGAAAAGAATTTACTCTCTTTCACTTCTTTCATAATAGCCTTAATAGTTTCGAAGGCACATGAATTGACAATATCTTTTTGAATTGAAGGAGCTATTAGCTTGAGATTTCCCGGAGCATTTTCCAACACAACTTCCTTTATTTTCTCATCATGATCTGCAAGGAATTGCAAGAGCTCTAAATAATTCCCCCTATTATTCGAAGTGTCACTTTCATCACGGCCAGGAAAAGGAAGGCCTTGTCGCAACAAGAACTTAGTGCAATCTATTGATGCATTCAAGCAAAGACGATATTTCATACACTCTTCTTCTGATTGTTTGATCACAACTGCTTCAATATGTGTCTTTTGGTTCATTAGATAACTAGCCGCTTCTCTAGCTTTATTGTGGAAACTACCAATAGGACCAACATGTTTGTCAAAACATTCTCTTGCATTCTTCCATTTCTTAAAGCCTACCCCAGTGAAGGCATCGCTTCCTAATTGTGAAAAGTTGATTTTAAAGAGATAGCAATGAAGACAAAATGCCGCATCTTTAGATATACTATACTCCAACCAATCATATTCTTCAAACCACGAAACAACAAATCGTCGCTTTTTCTTTGCATGCAAAGTGTATGGGAACTCATACTTTGTAGGCCTACAAGGTCCCATTTGCAAATATGCTCTGCGGACCTCATCTTGAATATTAGAAGGATAGTCCTTCATTCGAATTCTTTTTCCCGGGTCTCTCTCAAGATTATTAAAATCAATGTCACACTCATTTTGTCTTGAGCTCGAACTACCCGAACAAGTAGATGGTGCTATTGGCTTTGGCTTGAAAAATCTTTCCATATTTCGTATTTCTAAACTACACATAGGGGTGGTTCGGTATGGGATACTGAACCGAAAGTAGTATCCCGAATCCCAAACCGAAATTTTTTGGGACGGGAATTTGAAGACCAATCCCAAACCAAAATTTCGGGAATCCCAAATTTCGGGAATCCCGAAATATTTTCGGGATTTCGGGACAAATCGGGAATCCCAAATTAAAATATGAAATTATGAATTATTCTTCAAATATATAATTTAAGAACACATTCATGAACTAGGAATGTCATTTCATTCACACTACAATCAAATATTGGCATGCTTGATTGTTTTTATCAAAGTCAAAATTCAAATTAATTAAACCCTTTTGACAATCTGTGAAGAGACAAAAGAATCAAACCTTCTGAAATCATTAGCCATGACAGCAGCAATAATAAAATCCAAATGAATATCAAACAGAACATGAAAAATATGCAAGGTGTAAGGCATTCCAGGTTGCAGAGCATGAATTAGAAACTACTAGCATCAATTATAAAAGAATAATATATAATATATATATATATATATAAATTAATAATATATAATTTCGGTTTGGTATGGGATTCCCGAAATATTGAGAAGTCAATCCCAAATCCCATACCAAAATTTCGGGATCGGTTCGGGATAGCATCCCGAAAATTTCGGGAATTTCGGTTTGGGAAATTTTTGGTTTGGGATCGGGATTTTTTCGGTTCGGTTTGGGATTTTCGGGAATGTTTTCCACCCCTAACTACACATTTAACCAAAAACACAAAACATATACCAATCAACCAATAAACAAAAATTCAATCTAAATTTCAATTATAAAATGAGTATACAAACATAAAACACATCAACAATCATATCAATAATAGACTAAAAATCTCCACCAATATCTAATATAATTTAATTGAGATTAGATTAGAATACCAAAAAACTTACTTGAATTTGGAACCAAATAGTGGTGGCTTGGAGAATTGAAACAAGTGGAGGTATAATATTGGAGTAATGTAATTATAATATGGGATTGGGTAGGATTAGAAATTTAGGGTTTTGGGTGAATATAAGAAAGATGGGGGGATTAGGGGGAAAAGCAGTGGAAGGCACGGGTAAAGGAGAAGTGAAAGGGACGACAGGAAAGATGGCCCATGTGGGGCTAAACTTTCAAAAATAATATGTAATCATGTTGCAAAGGTGGACCAATTGCAAACGTTGATTTCATTGGTTTAATTAAAAAAAAAAAAAAAAAAGGGCCAAAACACTGCGTTTTGGACCCATTTTTTTAATGCCCTGTTTTCTTTCTTCTCCCCTGTTTTCTTCTTCTCCGTTGCAACCTGCAACCTGCTGCTGCAACAACACAGACAGTCTGCACAGGCCTCGTGTTCGAGTACGAGGGGTCCTCCGGAAAATTTCTAGCAACATTTTAGGATGGCCGAGGGGTCCTGGGACCTCCCAGGACCCTCTGTAGATCCGTCCCTGCTTAGAGCATGGAAGGTTGATTGTGTAAATTTTGGTAGGAAGAGTTCCTAGCTGTAGTTCCAAACCCGAATCTCGAAATTTGGTGATGTAAAAATGTCGGCCTTGCAAAGAAAGAGAATAGCTCTCACTTTTACTGCTGTTTTACCCTTTTTGTCTTTGGCTTTTCACCAAACAAAAAGTACCTTTAGCTTGACTTGTAGTTAAATATCTCCAGTAGTTAAACTCAGGAGCAGTGCTGACCCCAAGTGAGATGTTAGGGCATTCCCTACCAAGGCTTTTAGAACTTGGAAAGGACGAAGCTGCTTGTCTGTATAGCACATCGAAAAGTTATCCACGTGCTTATTAGGAGCTGGATGTCACTCAATGTGTTTGACTTGAGTTTCACCACACGTGGGAATTGAGATTGTGTGATGTGGTTAAGCTACCCCATACATTGTCAATTGTTGTAGGCTAGAGAGATTTTGAACACTGAATTTCCGAAAATGAGTAACCACAACAGCTATATGCTCCTTGCAGCGGGATTTATGTTTTATTGTTGTTTGAATCAATTCTACGCTAAAATCATCTAAACTATGAGAAATATGTGATTTAAGTTTGAGACCACATCTACCAATGAATCTGTTTTACTTTAAGAGGCGAAATCGAACTAAACTAAACAATAAACTAACTGTAAAAGTTATGCATCTGAACTCGTCATTTATGCGGAGTCAAAACTAGAGAAATGGTCCTAGTGGTCGGGACTCGGGTTCATGCTTTAGAAACGAAATGGGTCGGATCATGATCCTACGGTGAAACTCGACCACTTACTTGATAACTTCCCGGAAAATACGGCAATTAACCCCGTGAAAACCGAAAACATTTTGTAAAAAATAAAAAATAAAATAAAAGAAAAACACCCGCACTGTGATTCGAACTCCATGCATGATAAAAACAAATGCATGAATTGCTGCTTTCTGAATTCTGATCACGATGAAACTCCAGGTACTCCCTCACAACGCTTTTCTCGCACACATATCAGTTTCGCTCAAGGTAGAACTTTAGGTCTATAGTTTAATTGTCATTCATATTAAACGAAGAAAAATTATGGAAAATAATTGAGGGGTAAGAAGGAATCGTGCAGATTTGGTTTTCTTGTGGATTTCAGAACAAGTAGCAAAATTTGCTTGAAGAATTGGAGAGTCCGTTACCGACGGATTTGAACAACAATGGAGGAGTTGTCGTCAGATAGGTCGGAGTTGCGCGGAATGCAAAGAGAGCAAGAGCGCGAACTACGTCGCGTAAGGGACAGGCAGAGGAGGCAGTCTATGACCGTTGAGCAGAGAGAACGGCATCTGGCACGCTGTCGTAGGAACTATCAACTTAGACGACTGAGAGTTGAAAATGCTAAAGCAGGGGATTTCCCATCACATGTACAGCAAATAAGCAATGAACATGAAGCGGCAGCATCAGGAGGGAACAATGACGTTTGGGAAGTTACTCAGCTCGAAAAAACAACCGGGGAATGTCTGCAGCACTCCGAATGTAAGTGTGTTTGTATAACTGCATTGTCATTTCGCATGTTCAAAGTTATTGGGGACTCAAAAGTTTGTCATGTTGCGTGAAATGTCTTACAGGTTTGGAGGCTGTAGCTTCTAAATCGGCTAATTTCCCAAAGCGGTTGCGTTTGAGTCATATAAGGCGGCTTGCGCGTTGGTTGAATAATTTAGATGGCGAGGTTATTGGTATTCACCAAATCGTAGCACAGGTGATTCCAAAGGGTGATGCTAGTAATTCTTCTTGTAAGCTTGATAGTGTTAAATGTAATTCATGATTGTAGTTAAGCAAGAACTTAATTGTTTATGAGCTTTAGTTTTAATATCAAATAGGTTTCCGAATTGGAGATTTTGGATCTGGGAGGCTTCCAAATGGACTGCGTTTCAGTCGTGTTAAACGTCTTGCGCAGTCAATAAATACTTCTACAAATGAGGCTTCTGTTAATGGCCCGAAAGGTACTAAAGAAAAAGTAGATGAAAGTCAGTCATTCATTTTTAGTAGCCTAATGCATGTTAGGAACACGCAACGTTTGCTTTGTCCATGTACTTGTTACTGAGTATTGCACCTCTGGTCCAGTCGAACAGAATGTCTGTGGAAGAGATTCGAGTGATCAGTGATGATAAGCCTAAATTTGGACAAACTATTGATGTTAGAGGAGAAGCAGAACGACCTAACGTGGATGGTAATTCTCAGCTGCATTTTCCATGTGCGTAAAGCAATGGTTGGTGTTTTCATCTGCCTTTTTTTTTATTTAATTGTGTACCAGAGAATTCCTCATTGATGTGCCCCGTGAGATGGTGGTGTCCCGTTTCAGGATAAACACTCCCTCGTGTACTAATGTCAGGACATGAACTTTAATCATGCACAAGAAATGGACTTTATGCAGCTCTTCTCTACAGGTTTTTTACTGAAGACCAGTAAGTTGGAACTGTTAATCTGTGTTTTCTTGGATTCACGTCTATTTGTCATCGATAAAAGATTTAACTTTAACTTTAGAAGATGAAATGGACATTAATTCTCACACAACAAGAACACGGGTGTATGTATTCTGTGTCTGTTATCATTGGTGCACATCTGCAGGATATGTTACTACATCGTCAAGTTGTTATTATCTCTTCTCTTGTTACTTAAAAACAAAGGGTCAGTTGACGTGTGACATTAAGATTGATTACCATTTTTTTAGTCGAAGATGTAAAATTTAAGGCATGTAGACCACACGCACATTTGTCTCAGTCAACATGAGATAACTAGGCAGTGGAATTGCCGGGAGCGAGCCATTGATGATCAACACATTAAATAATAAAGTCGATAGAAATTGAGCCTTTATTGTAGTTGATTGATGCTTTATAGTAATGGCTGATTGTCGTTTCCAAGCAACTTAATTCGAGTTTTCACCCTTATCATCCCATTGTAACGCCTTCACCACCCATGGTATAGCAATTAGAGTTCTTTAGGAATCACCATGTCCATTGCAACGAACTTCTGAGAGTTTCGAAGCTACATTATTTTTAGGCTTCCCAGCTTGTAGTTTTGTCTTTTGTTTCATCTAACATGTTTTGGAAGCAAAACAAGAAAAATTAGTGTTAGGAAATCTTTATGTAGTGCTGATCGTTTGTTTTAACTTCTCCTTTATATTTCAAGATTGTATGACAGAGGAAGCTAACCGATGACGAAAGCTTGTTGGATTCAGAAAACTTGTTGGCAAGACTCGCCTATTTCTTCAAACAATTACTCGTAGTCAGAAAATCCAGGAGCTGGAGTTACGTTTTGCTGCGCTGCTGCTGGCAGATTTTGATCAGGGGAAGAGAAAATATTCATGAAGGCCTTGAATTAGGACTGTACTTGTAGACCGCATTGTCAATGAATTCTAGCTTCTCGTTGAAACTTTGGTCAAGTTTTACTGTTCATTGTGTTTTTTCTGTTTCAGGTTGCACTCCACAATTTGTTTTCTCTGCATCATATATATTGCCAACCTGTCACATTTTCTCGTTGGGTCAAGTATGAACAAGGATTTCTCATATTGCACTGCATATTTCATTGTTGGTGGCATTTGAAGTCAATCATATACTGCAACCGGCCTAATGTTGCCCATATTCCACCGCATGATTGACTTTGTATACTGCATAATATCATCCCAGGTACTAGAAGTTTTTCTTCAAAATTGGAGCTCAATTCAGTTAACGGAGCAGGTTTTACACCCCACTTTTCAATCCCTCACACATTCCTCAATATTTTTGACCATCGGATTAAACTGGATAAAATTAACACGATGTACAAGAGAAGAAAAATTATGTGTGTTTATCATTTTCACTCGATTAATAGTACTTAACTTTATAAGATAAATAAATTGTGAGACCCAACACTCAAACCACGGGTCAATACAGACCCCAACACATCAAAACCACATATTGCACCCCTTGATTTGTCATGTTAACCTTACCCCACTTTGCCCCACCTTGCCTCTCACACCCATTTTTTATACCCAAGAACTTCTCCCGTGGGGTGTGGTCTTGAAAACACACTTTGCAGATTTCTATGCATGAAAATTGCATGCCCTTTATTTTGTTTGAGTTATTAATTCAAACCGCATTGACTACAATAATTTTCTAACAACGTCAATCGGGCATACCGTTTTGAACCGGACTAGACCAAACCGGAAGGATGAGAAATATTGTGCACTTTTTGAACTTGTTTTCCAAGTCACCGATTTGTTTTCGCAAAACTTTATCTGCAAGCTTCCCTATAAACCTCCCAGGTTTCGTCCATCCTTCACACAAATCCTTCTTGAATTAACAATAATTCCTCTAGTTATTTCCCCTTTTATTTTACCTCCAACACTTTTCTAATTAATATTAACGGTAATTCCTAATTATATTATCTTAAAAAAAGCCTAATCGTAAGTGTAATAAAAACCATATCAACCAAGGATTAGGATCCTACCTAAACTGGGATCACCGCACTCTATATTTAACCAAGACTCTGCTTCTTTTTTTTTTTTGAATTCTGATTTCTTTCTCGTCTTCTGGTTCTTGAAGTTCTTGCTCTCTCTGTAACAATGGCGACTTCATGTTACTCTGCTTCCGACCCTCCCAATCCAGAGACTCCTTGCGTGCCTCCTTCTTACTCTCTTCGACGACAACAAGAAGCCGACCTCTGCCATTATTTCGGCAACGTTCGGGTAACAGTGGACGAAAGCAGCACTAGTTCTCCGGGTTCGTCTTCATATGCTACTCCCACCAAAATCCAACAAGCACAATCTGATTTTTATCCGAGATACGAAAGCGGGTTCAGAAATTGTCCGAGAGCTCCAATGGCATTGTATTCACAGAGTATATGGGGAGGCAATAGTGTGAGCGCTGGAGGTAATCTTCGTATTCACTCTCCCAATTCATGTGTAATGTACAGTTTCGTATGCAAGACTTTTACCGTCCTTAAAGACATGACGCGTTTGGTAAACTTTTAACCGCAGAATTTTCTTTAACATGGTAGGATTTTTTTTTCGACCTTGATCTTCCAAGGGTAGAATCCTTGCTTAGGGATTAAACTTTTGGGTTTTAGTCTCGGATTGGTTTCAAAATCTGATACTTGTTTAGAACAGATCTTTTTAAGTCTTCGACTTTATGGTCCTTTCTATGCTTAAACCCTAAAGTTGAAGACAGACTACTCTATACCCTAAATAATACTGATATCAAAAGTGTTACCTTAATTTTATGTGTGTATAGGTTATGAGCCTATGTAATTTATGTTCTTGATTTTCTAGGAAACTTTATGGGTTCAAACAATCTGAATGTCCATCAACTAATCGGCAATCCGGCGACAGAAGAAGGGACAAGAGCAAATTGGAGTGTTGGAGCAACATCAACATCTTTGGGCAATTGGGCACACCAGCTGAGCCCTTTTGGTAATAGCGATTGGAACCAAAATTATGGAGGACAAAATTACAGGGGCAATGTTGAAGGGACTGGATTATATTATTTCAATGGTAATAATTGGGCCCAAAGTTCAGGAATACCTAGTGAGATAGCTCGACTCGCTATGACTCAACTCGGATCGCAGGCCTTGGTACAGAGGCTGATAACTCCCAGCGACCCATTAGCAAAGAGTACGGTACTCGAAGGGGTTTTTGGTTCCTTATTCGAGGTGATGTGTGACTTTCATGGACACTATGTTTTTCGGAAGCTTGTTGAATCATGCAATCACAGTCAGTTGAGACTCATTGTGGCTAAGATAACTTTGAATTCTGAACCACTCATCAACATATCAGTCTGCAATTATGGGTATCCATCTAATCCTTATTCCTTAACCCTCAAGAAAACAGTTTGCTTTGGAGAAATATATCTGCGTTTTATGCTTCATAGTTGTGAAGGACTGGTTGCTTAACTTGTTTCTGCAGCTCAAAATCAATTCAAACGCTGATCAAGGTGCTCGAGAAATCGTCCCTGATATACACTTTGACATCAGCTCTATCTTGTGTTGTCGAAGAACTGATGACCAATCGTACAGGATCCCGTGTCATCTTGAAGTGCTTAAACCAACTTGACATTGAGAAAAATAAGGTAGCTAGGGTTACTTTATGTTTCTGTTTTGGACACATATTTTAAGCGCTTTTCTGAAAAGTTCAACATTTGGTTGATTTGATTGCAGAAAATATATGAAGCTGTTGTGAGGCTTTGTGTCCGACTGGCTCAGCACGAAAGGGGATGCATACATTTGAATGAGTTCATCACCAACAGTAAAACTCCATACAGAGAGAAACTCATGGACAAAGTCTCGAGCAACTCAAAATTCCTTTCTCAGGATCCTTCAGGGTACAGAAAATCCCTCTTTCATCTTATTGTGTTTACATTTTGTGTCAACTGTTCAGCAACTTTGTCATTTTTCAGGAACTATGTTGTCCAGCACATCTTCACGCTATATAACCCAGTCTTCTCTGCAAAGATATGCTTTGAGCTTCGAAATCTTTACATACAACTCTCATTGCAAAAAGGCGGGAGTCACGTTGTAGAGATGTGCTTAAACTCTTTGGGAATGGAAGTTGTAGTGAATGTTTTTCTGAAGTATGACAAACTCTGGCAAGTTGCGCGAGATCAGTATGGAAACTACGTGATCCAAACAGCATTGAAGGCCACAAAGCGCAAAAATAGCCCCCTTCATCAAATGCTTCTAGAAAAGCTCAACAAAGATCGAAGTGAACTCATGGTTGGGTTTGGAAGGAAAGTGCTGAGCGTCATTGACAAAGGGATCCCCCTAGAGTAGTAATTGTGAATGGTTGATCAACAGCCGGTTGACGATGATGTTGTTTAACATTTGCATATATTTTGTTTGTTATTCTGTTGAAAAGCCGCGAATTGAACTCAAAGAGGGGATGAGTGGATCTAGTATAATATAATTTGTACACTGAATCATAGTGGAAAATATAGGAGGGCTGGCTGCTCATGTATTGTGTCTGCTAAGTTGGTGTTCTTCTGATACTAGTGCATCTGCAGCAATGTATGTCGTTTGAGTCTGGAAGATTTCGGAACTGTGCGTCTAATGGATGTACCTCAAAATATTAATAAGATTTGTTAATGTAGTTTTCCAGTTTTATATACAAATTATGACAAGAAGTTGTTGAATTACAAGGACTCGATTAGGGGTGGATTCAGTTCCGTTCGGTTTGGTTTTTGACCGAAAGTGGAAACCAAACCAAAGTTTGGTTCGGTTTTTCTTCGGTTTTTTCGGTTCAGTTTTAGTCCAGCTCGGTTTTTTCCTTATTTTATTTTATTATATATATATATTTGGTTGGTAAACTAGCCCAAAAGAGGACCTACCAAATAGGCCAAAAGATCCAACAAACTGTGAAGGCCCAATCCATAAAATACAACCGAAAAAACCTAAGCTTCCACTATAGCACCTGTCGTCGAGCATCCCAAACCCTCGCCACCGACCAACCGATGCCTCGACAATTGCAACATCCAGCCATGAGCACCTGTTCGAACACAACCAAACAGACGAGCAACCAACATAGGGCTCCACAAAGACAAATCCAAGAACAACATCAGCCAATTTTCCTTCAAAAATTCACAAACCAACAATCCAAACAAACATCAACAACTTCAAAAATTCACAACCAAAAATCTAAACAAACATCAACAACATTTTTTAGATGATCAAAAAACACAAAAAACAAAAAGAAAGATTGATTAAACAATTATATTAAACAAACATCATCATAATTCACTTGCTGAACCACCTTCGAGTGGCTTCTCTGTGGTTTACAAGAGTGCGAATGTAATAGATAAAATAAATTTACAAATTTGCAAAGGGTAACAATTCCAAATTCCGAACCCAATCATTCAATCACAAAATAAAAAAATTTACAAGATTGGGAAAAAAATCGATGAAATTGATACAGTGAGATCAATGTTTATGAACCTGAACTTCTTAAATCAGGCATCGCAACGATGGGAGAGATAGATTCTTGACGGTGGGAGAGAGAGAGAGGTTGAGAAGTCAGAGAAGATGAAATGGGAATAAATGAGTGGACAACTAGGGTTATGTGTTTAGAAATGTTATAAAGAATTAAAGATCCAGAATTAGTATAAATATTTTACTAATACAATTATAGTAATGCAAAGCTTGTTGTCAAGTTGGCTGAAGCAAATATTCCTCAACCAGGAGGTAAGGGGTTCGAAACCTCTAACCTCTAGGTTTTAAGTATTTAATATATATTATATATAAATCGGTTCGGTCTAGTCAGGTTTCTAGACCACCAAAATCAAAACCGAACCAACGTATTTATATTCGGTTTGGTTCACCTAGTTTGGTTTGATGTTCGGCTCGTTTTTTTTCGATTTTCAATTTTTTTAACCCATCTCTAGACTCGATCATTGACTCCACTAGAAAGTGCAGGCAGAATGGTAGTCTGTTTGATGTCTCCTACATGTGCGGGCTGAGGTTTAATGTTGTTTTACTTGCAGTTGAGTGTATATAATATTATTTGTTAAAAAAAAAAAAAAAAAAAAAAAACACTCGTCTTTGTTGATTCATATTGTTATTGCACTTGTTTGTGCAAAGTTTTACATATGCTCAATTGCGGGGCCTACGTACCAATGACCCTTGGGCCCAAAACAGAATAGAGCCGAACCCTAATTTTGTTTGTGGGCTCCCGTATTAACTATCACTCATTCCTAGCCACGCGATACACATCGGACGGTATTGACGTAATGTGCTGACATTATAAAGCCTCCTCTCCATGTGCTTAATTAATCAGTCCCTTATTTTCATCTGCTAGTGCTAGGGTTCTAGTCTGCGCCCCTGTTCTGGGTTTTTAGGGTTTATCTGCAAAGTCTGGTCGACTTTCTTTCAATTTATTTAGTGCTTTTCGATCTTACTGGGTCGACTTTCTTTCAATTTATTTAGTGCTTTTCGATCTTCCGGTTAGATTTTCCCTTTTCTGTTCAAAATTTTGATGCTTTTTTGTTTGTTGTGTTGTGACGGGGGACATTGATCCGTCTCTTACTGAAAGGAGCAGGCAAAATCGGTGCCTGTACATTCCAAAAGTAAAGTTAACGTCGCATAAAGATTATCGTCGACGTTGATGGTCCTTCCGGCTTCGGCTTGGGAGCTCCTCCGTCGACGGTGGTGTCATATCCTGTTGCCTTGTGGTGATGCGGTATCACTGCCTCCACCGTTTTGGCGGGCCATGAGACCAACATTTGTTTTTATTCTGAATGTTTACAATTAATTTTAGTTTTTGGAATATAAAACAAAATGCAAAGTCCAACCTCGAAACCGTCTGAATATAAAGTTCATGTAATATTTTGATAACTTAATAAATTCTTAAAAATATCGTTCAGTGCGATCATAAAACAACATCAGTGGGCGACGGCTCGATTTGGGTAAGTGTATCTTCTTAGCTTTCGAGATTACTAATCAAAATTACCCTTTTACCTTGGTTTTTGTTTCTCTTTATAGTCAATTTTAGGTTTTAAAATTCTAAAATAGGGAAAATACAGATTATTAAAGTAGTGTGATATCCACACATCTTATTTTACTTCTCACACATCTTTATATATCTCTATTTTATTTCTCATACACCTTTATATGTCTCTATTTTACTTCTCACATACCTCTTTATATGTCTCTATTTTACTTCTCATACACCTTTATATGTTTCTATTTTACTTCTTACACACCTTTATATGTCTTTTTGCCATGTATTTTAATTATGGTGAATTTACTAGTAACCTATGCTTGTATAGACAGTTTTGATAATGTTCACTTTTAATGTTAAAGATATTTTTATTCTAAAAAGTCATTCTTGATACTATTTACTTACAACACATTTTTGTCATTTTGGTTAAAACTCAAAGTTTTCAATCCATTTTTATTAGTTACTATTCACTTACAACACATTTTTGGCATTTTGGTTAAACTCAAAGTTTTCAATCTATTTTTATTAGTTTACCTAAATTTTAAAAGTTGTGAGAGAAGTAATTTGGGATGTGTGGATATAATCTCTCTTTGACCTCTTCAACTCCCCTAACCGTTTCGTTAGGATGTGATCTAATAGGACACCACCAACGCCGGATAGGATCGATAACTATTTTCTCCAGTGCAGCAACGTTCTTCATAAGGTGCATGACAAGTTCACCAACAGGTGGATGAGCACGATACCCTACTACTTCCACCACCTTGAGGTTAGGATGGGGGTAGCATTTGGCAGCTTTCTCTTTCTCTTCTCCTAATTCAGAGGATGGAAAATAGAACTGCAAAATGAAAACTATCATTGTACACACAACAAGGACCATCAAGTCTATTAATTATCATCTTCTGTAAATGCTATGGAAATATTATCTGTTCACACTTTTCTTGCTTCGGTATTGGTACTGGAATCAACAAAGGATGAACAGAACAACAAAGTGCACAATTATCTACTAAACGGCACCTAATTTTTTTAATGTAATCTCCCAAGCACGACTATATACCTTTAACACAAGTCTCTCCAGGTGCATGACAGTTGGGTGAAGGGAAGCTCTATGGATCGATGGTAGATACGACCCTCAAACAAGAAAGGTTTAATGCGCTCATCCACGCATACCTCTACAAGTAAAGGTACGTTACTGAGAAGCAAGTTTACCCGACGTCCCGCATACATGAAGGAAACAAGGTTTGCATCACGAATCTCAATGCTTCTGAGGGCAAAACAAAATTGAATATCTAAATATTTCAATGCCATCGACAAACCAACTACTCTTAAATTAACCAACTTATTGTTAGCACTCTCCACTTTTAATCTTTCAAGAACTGGACAATTTGACAGTAAGTATTCAAGAACTTTTCCCGACACGTCAACGTATTTGAAATGAACAACTCTGAGGAACTTAAATCCAACATTGTATCCAGAAGGATGTAGACTTGAAATGTCAGAATGGGTGGGATTTAGCTTCAAGGTAGAATCATTTTGGAGACCTATTAGTTGGACAGGAAAGGGATAGACATCGTTATAGTTACGTCTCAATTCATTGTAAAGCACCAGCTCAAGTATTTGAACTCTCTTATTCATTGCAAACTGAATCCACTTATCAATGGAACTCGTAAAATGACCATCTATGTCAAAGTAAGCCCGGAATTGTTCGATAACAGGGCCTCTATGTTGTTCCACCACAGTGTTTACCCAATCGACAAATCTCTGTCTTAGCAGGTCTTTTTGTTCTGGTTCTACACGCAGCAGGCGGCAATAATGTTCACCCAGCTCATGTTTAGGATCAAAATCGAGAGTCACAGTCGACGCCCACACATATTGCCATCGCTTGGAAAGAATACTGGTAGCTCCTGCTTCTTTTAGTGGCAAGAGAGACACAATAGTAAAGAGAATTTCTTCTGGCAACTTACTAATTCTGTCCACCAAGTTACACTCGCCGCCCTTAGTATTCATCATTCTTTTTGGCAACCGTCTCCCTTGCCTATAAACTATAAAGGCTCCTAGGAAGGGCTGCTGCTCCCTTTAGCACCAAAAGTGAGAATCGAACTCCATCTCTGTTCAATTTCATGATACGATTACACAATTAGCGTAATTTGTGTTGATCCAAAGGAAAAAAAGAATCACTTGGTTTACAAAAAGCACCATCAACAAATATGAACAATGGCTGCTAACAGTAAGGAAATCAACCAAAACAAAGCAGTTTTACATCATGGATAGAAAACGGGGCAACTGTAATTTGTACAAGAAAGAAAGATCCGTGGAAAAACATAAAGCAGCCGCGTTTTTTATGAAGGAAACGAGAAAAAGGTGCAATTTTGATGCTAATTTGATATCTGGGAAAACAGAAAGACGGCATCTTCATACAAATCAGACCACCATACCAGTCAGTCACAGTCAGCCTCAGGTAAACATAAACATTTAGGAAATTAACAAGAATAAGAGACTGTATTTAACTTGTTGCATCGGATGAGTTGAGAGGATGGAGTTGTTTTCTTCATAGAATCACAATTCCGGAGATTCAATTTTTTTTATAATTTTTTTTTTTTTATATATTTTATCAAGAGAGGAGAGGCGAGAAATTTGAACAGACAAAACCCACAGGGATTATATTTGATTCGCTTCTGTCCGAGAAAATGAGTAAATGGTGTTTGTTGGGGTTCGGAAGTGGAAACTGGATCGGCCGGGTACGTACGATATGAGGCAATAAAATATCACCACGTCGTACTATATGGGGCATTTCTCGAACATTTTTTTATCATTATTATTTTTTAATTATTAGTTTTCAAAAACTAAGCAGTGAGTTAAAGAGTAGCGGCTGTGGGGCCTGGGATCACGGGATGGGATGGGATGGGATGGTTTCCTCCAATCCAAATTATTTTTAGTCCACCAAAACATCATTTCAACTGATATCATCGACTGGTAACATTTCTGCCTGCTATGCGGACGGACCAGGGTGCTAGTATCCCTAATCAATTGTGTCATAAGATTTGAAGTACCACCACCGGATTTGCGTTTTCGGCCATCAGACCTTGGTTAAGAATTTAATGATCAGGATATGATGGCCAAAATTTTCATGTATAAAATACACTCAAACATACTAATGCCAACGGTTTTATTTCATTACAATATGTACTTGTTCAGTCCAAAAGATGAAAGGGCAATAAACTTTGATGAAGAACCCAAAAATCGACCATTAATTTCATAAATGATAATTTTTATAAAAACCTTCAAATATATTCCAAATTCTACTTAAATAGACACAAATGCCCTCAATTTCTTTGAATAATTAGTTATTGACTGAAAGACTTCTTGTGCTACAATCAAAGTGTTGCTGACCCATGAAATTAAGGACTATGGTGGTGATTTATTCTTACGGCATGAAAAAACTGGGATGATCATGCTCATCTTGCACTAACAAAATTCATAGACGCCATAATACACATGGAGGGCTATGAATTACTCCATGAGGTCCACCGCACATCTAAAGCCAACACAGACAAGTACAAAGTCCAAAGGGTTCCAAAAATTTATCTGCAAGTGTTGTGGTACAACGTCTGGCAAAGAGAAAACATAAACAAGAATTGGCAGTTCATTCTTTAATAAATATTCAACGGAAGGAATAATTAACCATCTGCACCCACCATCGTTTACGACCGCAGAAGTCTCCACAGTTTCCTAATAGTAACCGATGCCTTCACTCTCTTATGCACAGGTCTCCACCATTTCTTACGTCTAGGATTTTGCTGTCAGATTTTGTAATCTTCATCTAATAGGGTTTTGGTTCTTTTGTTTATTTGGTTTTTAAATTTGAGAGTGTTTGTGTCTATTTATGTGAGTTTTGGATATATCTGAAAGTATTTATAAAAATTGACATTTGAAATTAAGGACTAAATTTTGGCTATATTTGATAAATACCCATCTTGTATCAACATTAAGTCACAAGAAAAAAGCAGACGTTTACGTTTAGGGGTCAATTGGTGCCTAGGATTAGATTGGTTAACTCATTAGTCATCATTATAGTAAAGGAATGTTAAGGTAGCGAATGATTTTGCATTTTAAAGGCAGCAACGTACCTTGAATATAGTGAATTATCCAACTTGATCCAATTCTAGGCACCAAATGAGCCATTAAGGTCAAGAAAACAAACCTAGGCAAGCACAACGGAGGGAAACACCATCTTATCTTGCATTAAGAATAAGGAACCAATAAATGAAAAAACACAAACTGGCTAAGAAGTACAGTGCATTTTGATAACTGGATTTTGAACATTGTATAAGCTTTTCTAATCCACCTTTCAGGCCATTTACATCTTCTACCTCAACTTCTTATCTTCAACCGATTGAGTGAAAACATGTTTCTTGAGTGAACATTTAAACAAAGTCAAGAAATTAGATCACATGGAGAAGGAATGCAAGGAACATTAGTGGGAACAAAACAAAAAAAGAAGAAGAGGGTTGTCAGGACCCGCCAAAATGATCCGTCCACACCTCTTGTGTTGTGTATCCCTAAGATGAACAGCACCCACCTTTTTTAGGCTCTGCAACTGCTGTTTCTTGGCTCCCGTCTTGCAAAACCACCGTCTTTCCACTCCCTACCCAACTGGGGTCCTGTTTCTTGAGCTCCTGAGATATCATAACTTTGCGGCTTAGTATGTTATAGATCTCTTTCACAACCATCTGAAAAGCGGCAGAGACATTGGACGAATCAAGAGCAGATGTTTCCATAAAAAACAAACCCTGTGCTTCTGCCAAGGCTTTGCCCTCAGAAGTGGGTACCTCCCTGGCATCCTTGAGATCGGACTTGTTGCCAACAAGTATCGTAACTACGTTCATGTCAGAATGAGCTGTTAAACAGTATATCCACCTGATCAATCCTCAGTTCATCACATTAATTAGAGACAAATGCAAGAAATCTTTTGAATCCACAGGGGTCTAGGAAGAACAGATTGACTATTGAATCAATATTTAAAAGCCATTACTTCATTTAAGATAGTCCACTAAACAATCCAAATATTGAGAATTCTTCATTGAGATTACTTCGAAAGTAAGCCAAATATTGTATAATGTTGACAAAAGTCTCCACTTGACCAAACAAACAGCCCCAGAAGAAAAACGTACTCGAAAAGAAAATTATATGTAAAATTTATAGGAATACTGTCAAAGAACTTACTGTGGAGTTCGTTAAGCCATCTGCCAATGCTATCAAACGTCTGGTGTCTACTGATATCATATACCAAAAGAGCACCAACGGCACCTCTGTAATATGCAGAGGTGACAGCCCTGAACCGCTCTTGACCGGCTGTGTCCCAGATCTGTGCTTTGACTTCTTTACCATTGATATCCACCTTTTGGGTTTGGAACTCTACTCCTATAGTTGACTTCGAATTAGGGTAGAACTCATCTCTAGCAAATCTTGCAAGCAAATTGGATTTTCCAACGGCTGAATCACCAATTAAAACAATCTTGAATAGATAATCCTCGGTCTTTTCCTCTTCGGAATAAAAAGCCATTGCCCAAACTCCACAGATTTTTAAGCTAAAGAACCATATTAATAATGAGTAGCCAGGGTGGATCTTAAAGAAACTAATAACCTACAAAATATCTACTTTTCCCTCTTCAAATGATTCTCTGGACAAAAAGAAAAAACAGTTGGCAGATGAACTGTGTAAGGCAGGAAAGGTATATAATGGGAAAAAGGCTTTTCAGCAATTACAGAATCCGAGACCTCCTTACAAAGCTAACGTAGGATTACAGATTGTGGCCTCTATGCCTTCTCTTAGATGCTTTCTACATATGTAAATCTATCTGGGAAGCTTTCTCCTTTTCAAATTACAATCTAGCCGTACAGAAAAAAGTGCCAAATCCTGCAGCATCAAGAAAGCATCAGGAGTTACAGACTTCTAACAATGACCTGGATTTGAAATGTTAAAAGGCAAGTTATTCCACTGTAAAGATTTTTACAACGATTATTTTAATAATGGGACTGGAACGAGAGCATAAGATGTAAAAGAAAAACAATTTAACCAATCAGGAAGCAAATGTCCTTGTGATTGCAGTCTACATAAGTACGTATTCTCCAAAAAGTTTAATCCTCACACAGGCTATAAGTAATACCTCAAAGCCTTCTTTGCCTTAATTTTGGCCTCCTCTCACTCCAGCTTTCCCTCTGAAACCTAGAAATAATGACAATGATTTACCTCATTCAGTTATTCTTGTAATAGAATGCAAAAGTAATGATGATGAAACAACATGAAATTTGAGATTTCAAGAAAGTTCCCAATGAGAAACATTATGGCGTGATCAAACATAAAGGTCCACAAGGCTGCATTATTCAGAATATCAACTTTATACTGCAATAATTGCCATTAAACACTGAAAGACCCAACTCACGAAGTAAACTACTTAGTACCATTATGTTAATCTTCAAAGTCAATTAAACAAAAGGGGGACTCCAACCAAGAACCACATTGATCAACTACTTCCCAAGCAAGAGCTAAACCGAATGATCCCCATTCGCTCCAAAACAATCCTAAAATCAGAGGGGCAATTTACATAAGTTTTTCTTTTTGGGAGTAAAAGTAAATTTGCACTATTTAAGAAAACAGCATGATCACTGTATAACTCGGACCCAATTCTCGAATATAGCTGAAAGTCAATGGAGGGGAAAAAAAATCATAGCTTTGACAGATCGAATCTCTATTAAAAATCTACCCAATTGAATATCATACAGTGGAAGCCTAAAAACCAAACCCAGTAACAATCACTTGTCATATCCACCAAGCAGGCCCGAAATCCTATTGAAAGATAATAACTTGCACAGTAAATTAGTACATTTATTGGCAATAATATGTACGACACAAAGAAATAATGAATTTAAAATCCAGAAATTACCAGATTGGGGGGTCAACAACGGATCAATAGCTTGGACGTGTCCAAACCTGCAACAATCCGATCCATAAAAACACTTTTCAATATCAACCCAATACGCAAAACAAATTAAATGATATACAATCAATCGAAAATTTCACAAATACACGAAATCGGAATTTGGAGATCCAAACGAGCCGTAACTCGTAAGGAATACAATTCTAAAATGTACAAGGTTGAGAGAGAGAGAGTGACCGTGGATGATGAGATGGAGGGCAATCAGCCGTGGATACCGGCGGTGAAGGGCGGTGATAGGAGGGGGGAGGGCCAGCAGAGAGAGAGGTGTGAGGATGAAAGGGCACAGAGAGAGCGTCAGAAGCACACATCGGACAAATGAGAGGGGGATCAGGAGGACGATATCCAAGGTAATTTCGGAATATGATAAAACACATGAGGGCTTTTTCGTCTAAGCGTTAAGTTCAACGTGAAAACAGTAACGGTAAAACAGTTAAATGGTTCAATGCTGGGCCAAGATAAAAAAGGCATTTTGTATAAAGTAAAATTTTGAGAGAGGCCCAATCCGCAGACTGAATTAGAGGAGTTCAAATCTTCTAACTCAAAACTCTACGCAGCCTTTCCATGCTCTATTTATATGAGTGACTCGTGTTATTTTAACTTAATTATTTTTACTTTTTACTTTTTTAAACGGGACGGGTTCATGCTGAATTTGGGCTAGCTGGCTCGTCACCTCTAGGAAAGAAAACTTCTTTGTTATATTTACGGATTGTTATATTAGGTGACAAAAAATTTTTCATTATATTTGCGATTGTTAAATTTACAGATATGATTTCAATGTATGTAGCACTCAAATTTATAGATGTTTTTACAAATCTATGGAATGTCAACCAAACCAGACTATCGGTACTCTACTCATGCCCTATTTTTATTTCTTGTGCGTACTAGATGCATGGTAAGACGAACATTTTTTTATGTTCATACTATTACGTACCTTTTTCACAAATAATAACAATATTTATAATAATTCCGTATGTGTATGTTTATCTTAGGTTGACAGTCTCAAGTTTGAATAAAGTGGAGGGAGAGTAGGTAAAGTAGTCGACAACCGACACTTTGTTCTTCACATCGAATTCCTATGATATTAGCGCCCGCTACAATATATGATGAAATTCGGTTTTTTCTTTTCTTGCCATGTTAATCTTGTTTCCACGTACAAGCATCCTTATCCTTGTGCCTTGTCACTGCAAAGTCACCTGGAACAAAATAGTTGGGAACCTGCCAAAAAAAAATAAACATAAAAATACATAGTTGGGCGAAAACTAAAGACTCGTCACAACTTTGAAGCGTCTTTTACTACTTGGGGAAATAGTCACACTAGGGAACAAACTGAAAAAAGTCAGATCATCTTCCAAATCGAATCAAATATCATATACCTGTATCGTATTCTCAATCGGGTACCAAAGATTGCAGCTTTGAAATTTTGAGGTCGAATTGAGTCATTGATTGTACTGAAAAAAGAAACGAGAAAACAAAAAAACTAACAGAAAATGGCCTTAAATTTTGGAACGATACTTGGCTACTCAAAGATGAGTAGGAACTCTTACTTAAAACTCCTAGTATTTTAATCACAAAGCTTTGTACTTATGATCATAACTGTTCATACTATGAATCACACTGTAAAGATCATTTCTGGAAAAAATAGATTAAAATTAAGATCGTTTAGTCAATGTATTGTAGCAAATACATAGACGGTTCGTAATGCGTTTACCAATACTGTTCAATTGTTTTTAAACAGTTTGATGACTAGACAACTTTAATTTTAATTGATTTTTTGCAGAAGTGATATTTATAAGGTGATTTATAATATGAACTGTTCTGATTATACACACGAAATTCTATAAATTGACAACAAACAATTTTAAGAAATTTTAAGTAGAAATTCCAACTCATATTTAAGTAGTTAAGTATTGTTCTAAATTTTGAGTCAGCCTTTTTCTGCTGACTTTGTGCAGGAAATATATTAATTGCAGAAAAATCTGATTTCTCAATGCTTTTTTTTGTCTTTTATCCATTTGGAATCCTTTACTGCTCACTCTTAAATGTCTGTGTTCTATTTGCATAGAAACTCTCAAAAATTGAAACAATAAAGGAATCTGTTACAAAATTGTTTTATTTCAATACAAAATCAAATTTATTTAATTTTCATCACCAAAATTCAAAATACAGATAAAAAAAAGCAGCATCCAAAAGCCAAAAGTAGGCGGCTGAAGAACAGCAGAAAGAGCTCCACCATTAGGCATACGAATAAGGTAATGGCTTTTTCAACACCGCCATTCTTCTTATTCTGTTGTTGTTTTGCTTGTGTGTTGAAGAACGACCAAAGAATTTGAAAGGATTAAACATGTTTTATTTGTTTTATGGTATTAACTCGTTGCAAGAAAATTTGGAGGATTTTAGAGACAGAGGATTGGCTAATGATTGAAAATGTAATTAAGTGATATATTTTAAACTACTCTAATTTGCGGAGATGGGGTTTCGAACCTGAGCGCTTCAGGGTTAGAGTTAGTAGGAAGAAATAGTGAATGATATGGAGGGAGGACACCCGCCTGCTAGCAAGACAGAGTTCACAGAGTGTTGGAGGACAACATGGAAGACGCCTTACATTATGCGTCTTGCTCTCTCTGCTGGCATTGGAGGCCTCCTTTTCGGATACGATACAGGTACATAAAATCATACATATCACAGTTAAAACCCAGAAATTAGTTTGTTTAATTCAAAGGAATTCCCATGCATGATTAATTTTGTTAATTTTCTTCTGTCCGTTGTTGGAGTACTTTAGGTGTGATTTCTGGTGCATTACTGTACATTCGCGAGGACTTTCACGATGTTGACAAGAAAACATGGCTGCAAGTGATTTAATCTACATTGCTCTCCTCATGTTAATTACTAATTAGTCTGGATAATTAAGCTCATTTTTATGTTTATGTCAGCTAAATTTGTGGTTTTTTTCATTGACATTGATGAGCAGGAAACCATAGTGAGTATGGCAGTTGCAGGAGCCATCATTGGTGCTGCAATTGGTGGATGGATGAACGATGCCCTAGGCCGGAAAAAATCAATCCTAGCAGCAGATTTTGTGTTCTTCATTGGAGCAATAGTAATGGCTGTTGCACCAGCTCCATGGGTGATCATAATCGGGAGAATTCTGGTCGGTTTTGGAGTTGGAATGGCTTCCATGACATCGCCGCTCTACATCTCGGAAGCATCTCCTGCTAGAATCCGAGGTGCCCTGGTCAGTACAAATGGTTTTCTAATCACTGGAGGACAGTTCTTGTCATACCTTATAAATCTTGCTTTCACCAAGGTACCAACTAATAGATTTGAGGCTTTAGTCCAATAGCATTTTCATGGTTTCAATTTCCTTATCTCCAAATTTCGACGTAATTAGTTGTTGTAAATTAATTTGCTTCAGGCTCCAGGAACATGGCGTTGGATGCTCGGCGTGGCAGGAGTTCCGGCTTTGGTACAATTTGTATTGATGTTGTCACTCCCAGAGTCTCCCAGATGGCTCTACAGAGAGGTGATCTATAATCGAAGTCTTGTGTCCTGTTTTTTGTATGATCATGGTCGTAGTTATTCCAACATGTTGAAATTTTACATCCATTAGATTTTTGTATGATCATTCAATTTCCATGACATATATATTACCACACTTCAGCATATAATTTTCTGCTAAACAGAATAAGGCAGATGAGGCTAGGGCCATCTTAGAGAAAATTTATCCTGCCGAAGAAGTTGAGCGTGAAATGCAAGCCTTGCATGAATCCGTCCAAGCTGAAAAGGAGGGAGCAGCTGCTGGAGAAGGTGTGCTAGCAAGATTAAAGGGTGCCTTCAGCAACCCCGTTGTCCGAAGAGGACTCTATGCAGGCATTACTGTTCAAGTGGCTCAGCAATTTGTCGGTATCAACACTGTCATGTACTACAGCCCAACTATTGTTCAGTTTGCCGGGTTTGCATCCAACCAGACGGCGTTGGCACTCTCTCTGGTCACTTCTGGACTCAACGTGGTTGGCACTGTCATCAGCATGTGCTTCATAGATAGATACGGAAGGAGAAGGCTGATGATTATCTCCATGATTGGAATCATCACTTGCTTGGTGGTGTTATCCGGGGTGTTTTTCCAGGCAGCATCTCATGCTCCACGCATCAGTAACTTGGAATCCACACATTTCGGTGGCAATTCTACATGTTCTGCTTATGTTTCTGCTCCTAATCCCGGATCGTGGAACTGCATGACGTGTTTGAAAGCAGAGTGTGGATTCTGTGCTAATAAAGTCAATGTAAGCTCACCTCATTTACTTTGGGGAAATGATATCCACACACACCTTTTCCGTCTCACACATATTTATTTATGTATGTCAGAATTGCAGGGGAAGAGGAGATGTGCAGAAATCACTTCCCTGTCTCTTCTCGATTTCCTTGACACATAATTGTAAGAGTGACGTTATAAATTTACTTGTTTTTCTATTGTTGCAACTGCCAGTTTGCCCCGGGCGCTTGTTTGGCTTACAATGACAATATCAGGAGCTCATGTCGGGGAGAACATCGTGTGTGGTACACCAAAGGTTGTCCAAGCAAAGTCGGATTCTTCGCAGTGATCCTGTTGGGATTGTACATCATTGTCTATGCCCCAGGAATGGGAACTGTGCCGTGGATCGTGAACTCGGAGATATACCCTCTCAGATATAGAGGAACATGTGGAGGAATGGCTGCAGTTGCAAATTGGAGTGCCAATCTCATTGTGAGTGAGACATTTTTGACCTTGACTCATGCTCTGGGTTCTGCGGGCACGTTCCTCCTCTTTGCCGGGTTTTCTGTCATTGGACTCATAGCGATTTACATGCTAGTTCCTGAAACGAAAGGAATGCAGTTTGAGGAGGTTGAGAAGTTGCTTCAGAAAGGGTTTAGGCCCAAGCCATTTGCTTCAAAGAGCAAGCAAGTCGGCAAAAATGTTGAACTTTCCTGAGTTTCTTGTATGAATTCTGAAACTCGTGGGTGTTCTAAAGAGACATTTTTGTTCTCTTTCTTAATAAAGTCGGTCTATACAAAGCCTTTGGTAAATAATTTTTGTTTTATTTATTTATTTATTTTAATTATCCCACCATGTTAAAGGGGAGCTTATTTATATTTCCTGTTTTTTTACCAAGAAAACTCAAAGTTTTGGTGTTTGTTACAATGTAAGAATCAATCTTTTTATTTGAGCTTAATTCTAACCTATTTTTCTATCTGTTAAATTGAATAATGTATGTCATGCGTCTAATTTTTACTAAAACACAAAAAAATCTGAAAATAATTTCCGCACATCTATTTTTTCGTGAAAATGAAAAAGAAAAATTCACTTGTATATTATAACGTATTGGTTTGAGATTTAACCCTTTATAAGTGCATTGGTTTGAGATCATGTAGAGTCAAGATGGCCGAGTTGGTCTAAGGCGCCAGTTTCAGGTACTGGTCCGAAAGGGCATGGGTTCGAATCCCATTCTTGACATCTGTATCTATTTTTTGTTTTATAGCTGCTTTGTTCTTTGGCTTCTACTTTTTTTTGTTTTATAGCTGCTTTGTTCTTTGGCTTCTACCTATTTAACCAGAAAGAAATCAGTATTTCTAATTGTGATGAGCTTAAACATTTACAAAACGACCATGCTTACTGCAAAAAATAAATAAAAAAATACATGTTATAGTCTGGTGGAATGCAATTCATCCTTGAAATTTGACGATAGGGAGTGGTGAGTAGAAAAGATTGATTTGTATCTGTCTGTATGATTTAGGGTTTGCTGCGCATGCATGCGTCTGCACATTTATCAAAACTACATGGCTATCTTATATAACATCTGGCATGCGTATAGAGAATCAAAAACGTATAAACCGGTCAAAGCAGTATATATAGTGGTCAGTGGTCAGTAATCGGCTACGTTTTAGGACGTGTAAGAAAACAAAGAGCGAGGCGATGGAGAAAAAAGTGTAGAGCCTAGAGAATTCCACATTTTTAGAAAACTAGGTCAAGAGTGTATAAAGATTAGCAACATCCTTCAAACCCCTTCTCTTCCATGTCCGACCGTTACTAAAGTTGTTATAAGCCTTTCAACATCAGCAATCTCGTTGGCAAAATTTAACTTCAGTAATTGTCGAAGAAACAACTTATTAGGTGTTACTTATACAGAAAGTTGTTAGAGACCGTAGGATACAAGCGCATAACGACACCAAAAACTTAGCCGCTTAGCTAGGAAGGCACGTTTAATATGGATTTACGCGTGTTCTTAATGAATGTGCTGCATAGAAAATTTTTGGTATATATATTCATGCATATATATACTTTGCTATATGGTGGAACATTCGAAAGTTAATGTTATGTATTACTTTCAATTTCGAATCAAATAGAAATTAGTGTTACGGAGATTGAATAGTTATTTTTCTGAGGTAGAAACTGAAGACAAATAAGAACACGTCTGAGCCCATTCATTCGTTATGTAACTAAGAGTGCGTTGGCAAGTAAATGAGTGCATGCATACATTGATTTCGTTCTCAGCGAAAGTAGAGTTGCTTGGACGAAGACGAAGAAGAAGAAAATGGTGGAGGGGGGAGCCCCACCTTCTAGCAGAACTGAGTTCACGGAGTGTTGGAGGACAACATGGAGGACGCCATACATTATGCGCCTCGCGCTTACAGCTGGCATCGGAGGCCTCCTTTTTGGATATGATACAGGTAACTAATAGATGCAAATTGTTCTAAAAAAATATCTGCAAATTGGTTCCAAACAATATCTTAACACGAACAATTAATTACTTTATATGACAAACTTTCTTTGTGCTAATTAGTTGTATGTGTTGTTGTTGGTGGTGTGGTGCTGCAGGTGTGATCTCCGGGGCATTGCTATACATTCGGGAGGACTTTCGCGAAGTTGACAAAAAAACATGGCTGCAGGAGACCATAGTGAGCATGGCAGTTGCTGGCGCCATCATTGGGGCTGCTCTTGGTGGATGGATGAATGACGCACTCGGCCGGAAAAAATCAATTCTAATCGCGGACGTGGTTTTCTTCATTGGTGCAATAGTTATGGGAGCGGCTCCAGCTCCGTGGGTGATCATAATTGGGAGAATTGTAGTTGGTTTGGGAGTTGGAATGGCTTCTATGACTGCACCCCTTTACATCTCAGAAGCTTCTCCTCATAGAATCAGAGGAGCACTAGTTAGCTGCAACGGTATGTTAATTACAGGAGGACAATTCTTGTCATACCTCATCAATCTCGCCTTCACCAAAGCCCCGGGAACCTGGCGTTGGATGCTTGGAGTGGCCGGAGTTCCAGCCCTTGTTCAGTTCATATTGATGTTGTCGCTTCCAGAGTCTCCAAGATGGCTCTACAGAGAGGTGAGATTATCATAGTAGCTAGCTACATGTCATGTAATTGCTATACGTGACGTAAATGCTTAAGTTGTCAAACTGTGAATCTGAGGGTGCATGTCACAGACATGACCAATCAACTGTTCAAATTCACAGTCTAACGTAAGATTTGACGGGGGAACGTGTCACTTATAACTTGGTATTGATGTTAAACAGAACAAGGTGGATGAAGCTAGGGCAATTTTGGCGAAAATCTATCCTGAAGAAGAGGTGGAAGATGAATTGAAAGCCTTGCATGAATCTGTCGAATTTGAAAAGGCCGAGGACTCAGCAGCTGGGAATGGCATGATCCAAAAACTAAAGGGTGCCTTGAGCAACACCGTGGTTCGAAGAGGACTCTACGCAGGCATCACGGTCCAAGTAGCTCAGCAATTTGTCGGCATTAATACTGTGATGTATTACAGCCCGACCATTGTTCAATTCGCTGGTTTTGCGTCCAACCAGACCGCTATGGCACTCTCTCTCATCACCTCCGGTCTCAACGTTGTTGGAACCCTAATGAGCATGTGCTTTGTAGATAGATACGGAAGGAGAAGGCTGATGATCATTTCGATGTTTGGTATTATCGCTTGCCTTGTGGTGTTAGCCGGGGTTTTTTTCTATGCCGCGGAACATTCTCCGAAGATTAGTAATTTGGAATCTGCTAAATTCGGCAACTCTTCAACATGTCCGACTTATGTATCGGCTGTCAATCCTACAGCATGGAACTGCATGACGTGTTTGAAACAAGAATGTGGCTTCTGTGCTAGTGAAGTCAAGGATGTAAGTTTACAAAATAACTAATGAGTCTTTAATCATTAGAAATTAAATATTTAACCTTAAGTAATATGTGTTCCCCCTTAATTGTTGTCAGCTCGCTCCGGGAGCTTGCTTGGCCGCCAGTGATAATATCAGGGACATATGTCGTGGAGAACACAGGACATGGTACAGCAAAGGCTGCCCTAGTAAAATCGGAATATTTGCGGTGATACTATTGGGATTGTACATTATAATGTATGCACCCGGAATGGGAACAGTGCCATGGATTGTGAACTCGGAAATATACCCGCTGAGATACAGAGGGACGGGTGGAGGAATCGCAGCAGTTTCAAACTGGACGGCCAATCTCATAGTGAGCGAGACATACTTGACTCTGACGAAAGCGCTGGGTTCGGCGGGAACGTTTCTCCTCTTTGCTGGGTTTTCTCTTATTGGACTCATATTCATTTACTTGCTAGTTCCTGAAACCAAAGGAATGCAGTTTGAAGAGGTTGAGAAGTTGCTGCAGAAAGGCTTCAGACCTAAGCTATTTGCACCCAAGGACACCAAAGGCAAAGCCAAAGTTGAGGAATAGTATAGTCGAAAAGGGACCAATGTTATAATCGTTTGTGTTTTAAGCCTAGGACATTTGGTGAGGAATTACCATATTTTGATGACCATACTGCCAGAGCCCGTATTTTGATATCACGAAATAATTAATATGTACATGTCATGTCATTGTAATATGGTCTATTATATATCAATATTCTATTAGGTTTTACTTAACTAAAAGTTTTGGTTGTACGAGAAAAACAATGCAATTGATGAGCCATGCAATTATGAGTCATGCAAAATAATAACACACACTTTTTGGACGCGTGTGCACTTGTGACGCTCAAAAAAAGTTGTCAAAATAGGGCGCACCGACAGACGTTGCAATTGAGTAAGAAATGCAAATTGCAACCATCCAATCCAAACGGACAGGGGGACAAAACAATACCTGCTCCTCCTCCGCCAGCTAATGCACCATTTCTTTACTACGTATCGACAAACCACATAATATCATCAATTTGAAGAAAGATAATATATGTACACACTGTGCAGTGCACTGCACCATCAGCAGCGGGACAATTTTTTGAAAAATCTTTTTGGTTGGTGGCCTTCGGCTTTGCCTTGGATGAATTGCATGTAGTTGGACAGGTGGTGCGGGGGTGGGAGAGAGAGAGAGAGGTGATGGGGTAACCCAAGGCAGCTCACCTGCTTTATAATGCTCCCAAACGGTGTAGTATCACTTGCTGTTTGGTAGCCGAGAAAATTGACAAAAGATGTGGAGAATAAAGCATTAAAGTTGCATTCTCTAATGAGCAACGAATAACCGGACAACGAATAAGGGGTCCAGAACACACCACCACAAGTTGGAGGGAGAGTTGTATGAAATAGAAACGCCTAACCTATCACGAGACACTTCGTTCCTTAAGTTTTCCCATATGGCGCCGCATGATTGGTTTGAAAAACTGCCACCTTGGCATCGGAGTTCAAGATTCCAATTTAGGTACCACCAACAGAAACTAAACACAGAGCTTTGAAGGAGGAGAGAACATTTTGTTCAGCCTCCCTCCCACAGTATCTCCAACAACATATGAATTTCCAATTTTCCATCATACAGAACTTAGAACACAATCAATAACGAAGGAACAGAGACGATACTTTTGCAAGCAGATCACTAAAACCGGATAATCGGTAAAACCCTTTTAGCAAAATTCGGGTTTACGCATACAAAACACCACAAAACAACCACAAGGCAAACAAGTAATAGTATTCCACTCCTACAAAAAACCAAGTCAATGACAGAAAAAGAGGGCAAGAAAGAAAGAAAATACCCATCCAAAAAACCCTAGTTGAATTCATACATCTTAACTGCTAAGAAGTCCGTAGTGTCTTGCTCACTAGCTTCCTATAATCTCTCTCCCTTCTTACAATCATATCATATTCTTCTTCCTAGCTTCTCAACCACACTGTACAAAGTTACAAACCATGAAACACCAACACTTCCTATATACAAGTGCAATCAAACACTACTCAAACTACATACACAGACACATAGTATAGTTCCCTCTCTAAGTAGTGAAAGTACCTCCCTTCGCTTCTCTAAAGAGCCGAAGAGGACGCTTCTTGTCTCGGTTCTCTCAAGTACCCAAGAAGCGTTTCAGCCTGCAAAAACAACCAAACCCCCATTATAAACCAACCAAGCGAGCTCCATTAAGAACATGATCATACATGCAACATCCACATGCAGACTCGGAATTACAATATGCATGACAATTCGCATTTCATTGTATACTTCCTTCAACTAACAGCTTCAGCTGCCAATTTAAAACGAACAATCTTTTTTTTATTCGAGCGATATTCTAATCTAATCTAAACTGCGGGATGGGGTTTCGGTCTACAATATAAACAATATTAGCACCATTTCGTCTACACAATTATACACAATTTAACACATAAAAAGATTGTGGTACCAAATACCCAAGTAATGAAATGATCAAGATACCTTGTGCTTAGCTTTAACAGTCCCAGTCTGCGAAAGCGCAACCAATGGCGGAATCCCTCCTTCCCTCACAAGCAATCCTCTGTTCTTCACACCCTCACTGCACAGCTGCAACAGTGTCAACACCGCAAACTCCTTTCCTTTCACCGACCCATCTTCAACCGCCTCCACAAGCGCCGCCAGCCCGCCTTCCTCCACAATAGCCTCCTTCCCCTCCTCGACTCCCGCCAAGCTACTCAGCACAACCATCGCCTTCTCCGCCAAGCCCGTTCCCTGCTCCGCCACCAGTGCCACCAGCGGCTTCACAGCTCCCGCGCTCACCGCCCTCTCTTTGTTGGGCTTTATCGAGCAGAGCTTGTACAGAGTCGTCAAAGCGTCCTTTTTGCCCCTCATGGATTCACTTATTAACAGCGAAACCAGCGGGGGAATTGCACCGCAGGCTCCGATTGAGCTCTTGTTCTCTTCAATTAGCGCCAAGCTCAGCAGCGCACAGGCGGCGTTTTGCTTCGAGGTTTCCGTCCCCGTCTTGAGGACGTACACTAACGACTTTATAGCTCCGGCATTGGTGATTATGGCCTTGTTAGATTCGTGCAGCGAGAGGTTTAACAGCGCCGTAACGGCGTGCTCCTGCGTCCATGGATCACTGCACCGCAGTAGAGGAATTAGAGCGGGAACGGCGCCGGACTCGCCGATCAAGGCGCGATTATCAGCCCGATTCTTCGCTAAAAGCCTAAGCTTGGCCGCTGCAGATTGCTTCACGGCAAGCGACGTCGATTGGAGGCCGTCGACGCAGATCTTGACCGTCGGCTGAAGATCCTCCGGCGAAATGCTCTCGATGATCTCAGTCGAGAAGTTCTCCCTCTGCAAAAACCCCTGGCATGGCTCCGGTTCCGGCGCAGCCTCGGATAATTCGGAGGTCGGCGCGTTTTCCGGCGACGGCAAGCTTGCGAGCCGTTGCAATTCTCCCGATATGTCGCTGCTGCAGGCGGAGAAATCACTGAAGGCTTGGGAGAGCTGGAGGTACTCCTCGTCGGAAGACGCAGACTTGCTGGCGGAGCTGTGCGTGCGGAGGGCGAGCTCGCCGAGGCGCATGTCGACGACCGAATCAGTCAGGTTCTCGGAGACAAAAGGCGATCTTTCGGCGGCGAAGGAGGTGCGGGAGTGGTCGTCTTGGTAGATGTTGGAGCGGATGGTGCGCATGGAGCGGCCGGTTTGACGGTGGATTTTGGTGGAGGAAGGAGAGTAGAAGTTGCGTGTGTGAGGCGGGAAGTGGTGGCTGGAGCCGGAATGGGAATCTTGTAGAGAAACCATTCTCAAAGCTCGGAGCTTTACAGCAAATTTCAGAAATTTTCAGAGTGATTTGAACTTTGTTGGGATTTTGAATTTGGGGTTTTGAATTAGGACAAGTGTGGAGTAGTAAATGAATTCATGGTGTGGGAAAGTGTGGAATTGGGAGGGAGGGAGTCTGGGAGAGAGTGGATAGAAGATGAAGATGGAAGAGGGGCAGTGGGATTTATTTATTTTCAAGGGTCTATGTCATATGTCATCTGCATATGACCGCCTGTAGTGTCTGCTGGGAACCCCTTTTTTTACCCTTTTTTTTTTCGTACAATTCTCTTTATTTTAATTAAAAATTATATTTTTACATCAAAAAGTTTATTTATTTTACTTTTTATTTTATTTTTATGATTAAAACTTAACATTTTCAAACAATTTTCATTAGTTTTATTTTATTTTTACCTCATACATTTTTTTTTTAATTTTTTACCATCAAAACAACTAAATGTTTGAAGTTAAAAATTTAAAAAGAAAAACAGTGTGCATATTCCCTTGTTTTCTATTTTGTCAAAGACCTATAAATATAATGATATTCGTTTGCAACTGTAAACGAAAGATTTTCGGTTTGATTGGCATAAATTACAATTACGATTTAATATTCGCATATTCTAAAAATTAGATGTATCTAGCGATGCTATGGAGCAAACAATGATATGAAAACTAACTTTGACACTCTTATTTATTTGTATTTTTTAAGGATTGATTTTAAAAATATTTATGCAAAAAACATTTTCAATCATTTTAAAAACATTTCTAAACGAGCTAAGCTAATAACCTGTCAATAAATATTTGAGTCTTCAATATGGGTAGTCTATTGATTTTGAAAGCTCTGCTGGGCAAATAATTTGCGGCCTTTTTTTCATAGGAAACAAAAATAACACCTAATTTTGAAACTGACACACCCCGACCAAAATCAAAGTGTGCTTATAGAGGCCTTTCTAGCTCCAAGTTATCCTTTTTGTAATTTTCTGCAATCAGAGGCCCTTAGGTTCATTGAGCCCTATGCGGTCGCACATCTCCCACACCCTATAAGCTAACCATGACTTTTCATGCTCCTAAGAATTTTATTATCAGCCTGATTGTTAAAAGTATGTAAAAATTTGATGAAAACTAAGTGTTTCCTTAAGAAAGGGGTCATTCAATAAAGCATTTTCAATTATTGTTGTAAATCGTAAACACTTTTAAGTTGTTGATATAACGCGTGAATAAGGAACAATTAAGTTTGTGACAATAACTCTCAAAACTTTTCTTTGTGTACATGGATGGTGTTTTGCGTTTGAAGGAAGGTGGAGTCACAAGCAAAGCATCCTGTGCAAAATGGTCATAGACCACACATTTAGGGTTGAGGATAACGACACCGTTTGGCGATAGAAACTCATGGTAGAAACTAAAAAATTGGAATTGGCGTGGGGAGCTGATGTGACTGTGGGCAGTGGTCACAAATCCAATTGGCTCTTTTTGATGGGATGCGTTCGGTTGGACCTATCCGTCGGCGATAACCTGAAAGGTACGACGCCGTCGTTTTGTGAACTTTCCCAGCTTTGGTCAAAACTGGAAGGCTTGGCACGTAGACATGTGAGTTGGGGTGAAAAAACAAAACAGGTAAAAGTGATTTTTCAACATTTCATATCTCCTTGTACATCTTTGAATTATTAGATTGAAACAAAAACAAATGATGAAAATAAGTTACATGAAACGGGCATAAAAAATGATCATATTCCGCTCAATCATGTGATATCGTGTAACGTGATTAAGCATATATTGCTCGACTATTCAGTTTTATGTAAGTTTCTCTCATAATACGGTGTATAAATATTTTCAGTCGGAGTTTACGACAAGATTCAAATAGATGGGGAATGATACGTGTTGCCAGCTGCATCAGCCTGTAATGCTTCTGATCTAGCCGTCCGATACTCCTGACGATCAGTAGTTTAGCTAAGAGGACGGTGGTACTGGTGTTGGAGATGGGAGGGTCTGGAGAAGTGGGCCAAAGTCAACTACAATCTGTTTACTTTAGCCTGCAGCTTATGTAACTGGTGAGTCAAAAAGCAGCCAGGTCAGCCACACGTGCCTGACCAACACAGAGCCAGAGATGAAAGACCTCTTACTTTAATCATGACTACTCTTTAGGGTTTGGATTTTATCCAAGAAAAAAGGGGAAAGGTGAAAAAGTGAAAAAGTGCCCACTTATTTATACTGATCACTATGGTCAAGTCCTAATTACTAATTTAATCCACAAACAAAGATTAATGGATTTGTTATTCAAAAGGTGCCTACCTCTCCAACGTACGACCTTCCTCTAAAAAAGTTTAATGTACCATCAACGTGATTTATGTTTTAAGTAGTCAAATTTTTTTTCTTCAAATATCCAACAACTTTTTTTTTATTTTTTTGGTTTTGGTGAACATATCCAACAACTTTGTATTAAAATATTTGTTGTATCAAAACGTGCTTTCCAGCCACGCTAAAATTATCTCCTTCCTCTCACCTTCTAAACATGCTCACATATGCACAACAGTAGCGAACTACATTAGTTTGACAAAAAAAAACAAACTAACAGTAGGAAAAAAAATTATTCCAAATTGAAAACATTGCTCACCAATATAAACTTATTATTGATTCTGATCTTCCATATCATAGATACAAAGAATTGGCTCACCTAATTATCAAACTAAATAATATAATTTAGTTTGTATTGTATTTTTCAGCACCTAATCAACTTTTCTTTGTGTCTGATCTGATCTACTGTCCATTTCCTATGTATATCTCCAATCAATTTATTTTTAAAATTTTCGTTGATAATTCGGTAGCGCCACACCCTTCAACAAAGGGTAATCTGTATATATTATAATCCTTACTCAACGTGCGCACGCATGCATGTTATGCAATTATACAGATGTTTTATGAACAACATATATACATAATAGAGAAAATTCTTTAATCTTACGAGCATTGTTATATGATCTAAATTAGTTTGGATTATTGCTTCATAGTTTTGTAAATTCAAATCATTCACTGCTCGTAACATTTAATACTACAAGCATAGAAGCGGAACTCATGTAATAGATATTGTTTATTTCCTCAGTATTCATTATAAGCTCAGGAAAAGGATCATCGTCGGATCCTTTTCGTGAAGATCAGTGATCGTGATTGTTCATTATATATCAGTGCGGTCATAAATCGTTAGGTACTATTTATATTTAATTTTAATTTTAAATTTTGAAATGATTTCTAACTGCATGATGTACAATGAACGATCACAATCACAAAATCTCTAAGATCCTCAGAAAAAGAATCCCGCAAGGATCATTTTCCATAAAGCTCATTGTTAATCCAACATGCTGAGTTGTTTAGCACCCTAACTGCAGTTTTGAAATTTGCAAAAGATGGTGTTTGTCCTTGTACGACACAATTTTCAGAGATTATTTGTACAAAACTTATTGACGTAGATCAATCAGATCATGCCACGTTACAAAAATTTTAATTAAGTAGGTTCTAATAGTCTGCCTGCTATATTTAATTGTTCTTGTTTAGGACCATGTAATATGACACATTGACAAAAATTATATTTTGATGACTATCCGTCCTAGGTTTATCAAGTCAAAAGTATTGATTCATGATTTTCAGTTAGTTGATGAACTCACTTCAGCACAGACAGTATCTTTTATGATAACGCGTATTTGACTACGAACTTCTAGTAATTTTCAATGATATCGTAAATGTTGGAACTTGGAAATTAATTTTACTTGGAACACACGATTATACAGAAGAGCAATGCTAGTTAGATCAAACTTGCAATTTATATGAGTGTTACTAAAATGTAATTACGTTAATCAATATTTAAGTAATCATAATTTAATTATTAATATAATTTAAATAGATGGATTATCTAATATTACCCTTATACAAAACTATAATTAAGTTAAATGAAATTACTTATTAGGTTTTTAAGACGAGAGGTTATCATGATGGCTGCGTTGACTTGCAACAAATTTGTGCGCTTTTTCGCGAATGAGTTTTGATGTTTGTGGATCACCATGAGTTGCAAGCCAGGCCGATTGACATAATAACTCTAATCATGATTATGGAAACACTTTTAGTGTCCCAAACATGTGTTAAAGACTTACAAGGTTTTACTACAACTCTGTATAGTATAGAACATGACGATGCGATCACGATATCATGGTGCATTCGGAAAACTCCTCAAAAGAGCTAGCCCGAAGTACGTGGAATAAAAAATTAATGAGGATGTTCATAATGAAGGTAGTCGAGGTTTCATTCTAAAATTATTTCATTACATAAGAGGATCACTTTCTTATAAACTATCATAAGGATCATAAGGTTCCTTAATTCTTAATGTTTAGAGTCTCATGAACCCCACATGTAGGATATTGTTTAACTCTAACACGTAAATAATTGATGAGATTTCATCCTGAAATTAATTTAATTAGCAAAAGATAACTTCATGTAACTTTAAAGTTTTTTAATTCGCCAACGCAAAATTAATTGATATATAAAAGACTTAAATTTAAATGCAACCTCAAATTTAAATCCCTCACATTATAGGATGAGATGTAATAATAATTTTTGTATCTCAAATTTGTATTTTTTTTCATTGAAGATGCCCTTAATTTGTGGGGTTAGGTTTTATATGTACAAATTTGGGCTTCGAAGATAACTCTCGGGTTTTTATAGATTTTGATGGTATATATAGAACTGAAAACTCTAGCTAGCTGGCTGTGACTTGTTGTATGGCTGATTGGTTTGGTGTCTTATTTCAAAAGCAATGTGCATTGGTGTGTGCCCTAACCTTCGCTATATTCATCTTATAAAAAAAAATTATAATTTAATTAAAATGAAAAATTGTCAACCCTGATGAAGAAACTGTGTGTGGTTGTTAACTAGGCTTCATCCTCATCCATTTGAAACTGACAAGTTTGTTTACATGCATGCGAAACTATGGATTTGTGTTTCCGTACTGTTTGGCCTGGTTTGTTAGATAGAATTGGCCGGTTTGGTAGAACTGTTTACTATATTAAAGGCATGTTGAAGAAAGAAATAGATAATTTTTTTTATTTTGTTCAAATTGAAGGTTTATGAATAAGAGTTGTATGTTTTAGTCCTATACCTTTTTCGTGGGAATTAGTATGGATATTTTTTTTCTTCATGAATGACCTTCAACTTAGACAGCATATAAAAATTGTCATCGATTT